CCATTCGGTATTCCTCAAGTTGCAGCCTCTGAGGAGCATGTTGTCTATGGATATCGGCTCTGACATTTCTCTGGGTCCATCTGGCATCATCTGTTCCCACTTGATGGCGCCATTATACTTGTAGAGGTTAGGCTGGGGTGGTTCGCTCTCGATAACGAATTGGGCGCGCTCGCAGTCTCTCGCATGCTTCAAAGTTCGTCCGCAACGGAGTGCTTGACGAACCTTCAAATTTGTTTCTCCATCCAGATTCTTGGTTTCCACATAACACGCACCATCTGAATCAGAAGTAGCGAGAACGATGATATCTGCGGGAAGCTCATCATCATTATAAAGTCGCACAAAATCGCCAACCTGTAGATTTTTCCAGTGATCTTTGTGAAACCGGGCCTGGCCTGGTTTCACATCGTAGTTAATAAGGTCTCCTTTTACTCTGGCTAGCATCTCCGGCTCGTTTGGAGTATGCGACCTGTCAGATGTCGGGCGTTCCGGGATTTCCATTAAATCGTTCTTAGGCGTCTGGGGAGGAAGAGGAGATGTGACTGGTGTCATCTGAATGTCTTCGTATGCAGACATGTATGACGTTCTGTCAGTGTGAGGAGATAGCATGGTAGAATCGCGACGCGTCGCCTTGGTTTCGACAGAGGGACGCGGATCTGATGAATTTTCCAACACTCCCTTTGCTTCATCCTTCTTCCCTAAGCTCTTCACCGCACGCCAAAACGTTGCGAGAGACCTCGAAGTAGCCTTCTTGATCCTCCGCCATAGCGAAACATTATCTTCCGTAACATTGACATTATTCCATCCTACAAGACGGTGCACGGGTGCGTTATTTAATTCGTTGTCAAGAATCGTCCTGCGATAATCTTCGATCGCATCCTTGATAGCCGTCACAGCAAGGATGAATATTAAAGGTACCGCATTAAGTCCTGGATTAGTACCCCCGAAAATAGGAAAGATCTAAATCCCGAGTTAAATGTTAGCCTCTCTCCCGAACGCATGGGATCTATTTCACTTACAATAAGAATCACCATGAAAAGAAAGAAGATGTTGGCAATATTGTGGAATTGGAACCATAGGTTCTTAGGGATGAAAGACAATGGCGTATACTTGGCCGTCCGAATTTTGTTTCGAGCATATGAACGAATGGGGTTGCCTTCTTCATCTTTCAGCTCGTCTGGCAAAGGCAGATTGAAGTACACTATCCTCCCCCCTTCATCTTCCCCCTCAACAGACACGGTACTCTTCGAATCGCCTGGTTCATTCTGCTGGGTCGTAGACGCGCTGTCGTATGTAGCGTGATCGTCACTCGTAGACTGACTGCCGTCCGAATGTCGCTTCTTCTCCGTCGAGCCAGTTCGCTTATGCTGTATCCTGTCTTTGAGGGATAGCCTCTTAAGACCACTGCTCTTAACAGTGAGTTTCCGAGTAGCCCATCTCGATCTGTTGACCGCCTTGTCATTGTCACCTTTCGGCATCTTGGGAGAGCTGCGGGCAGAGCCCGTTCAACCCGACGTGTCCGCCAGACTGGCCTTCCGTGGCCACGAGTCTTGCGTATAAACTCCTGAGGCGTCAAGTAGTGCTGAATGCGGAGACTCGGGCAATTGGCAGCAATCGCGTCGGGGTCGCTAAAGTGAAAGAAAGTGAATCGTCGGTCGATACTATCGTCACGATGTTTTCGTCGAGGAAGGTTTGCATCTAGGGAAATGGGTTGTGATCGCTCGTCCTCCGGCTTCCCTTACTTGGTACTGGGGGGCGATCGTGTTGTTGATGGCGTTAAGGACAGAATTGGGAAAGGGAACAATGGAAGTTTTTGATTGATCGCTATGTCGGAAGGGCCGGGGTTCTAAGGTACACCGAAGACTGTGTCGGCACTGTAAGCAAGACGGGCTGGAAGGTAGTACAAAGTCGCGTGTACGCACGCAATTACATATGCACTTACCCAAATAGCCTACAAAACCCGCGAATACTCCCTATCTTCTCGGCGGTAACAGGGGAAAAGCCCCAAGACATTGGCGCAATTTTATGTAACTACCTAACTTCAAATTATACCTTAGTTCGAGATATTTGTGCACATCGTTATTGTGATCGTATTATCTTCTCCTATCCTTTTATTTATTTATTACGGAAAGTTTATATAAATTGCTATAAGCCATAAGATATATAGATGAAAGTGACAAGTCTTTAAACTGCTAAACAGATGCCTTTTCAGATCAATGTTACTCTTTAGGTTAGGGTGTTCAATGTCATGCATTACGTAGGTACATTAGGTATAAATGTACATACATTATGTACCTATAGATAGGTACATTTATGTAGGCTTGGTAATCAGAGCTACACTGTGCACGCTATCTTATATTGATTGGACAAATACGCATACGGCGACTAACAATATCCTTGTATCACCCCAATCCACCAAGAAAATGCCTCTAAGAGTCGATGATCTCGGCTAAGATTCTTTCGTTATGCAGGCTATGAATCCTCAGAGCAGGACGAAATCTCTTGGACCAGTTGTGCATCTAACTAGTATTTCATCAAGCTAGTTTCTGAAGTCAGCAATGGAATAAATAACTAGCCATTGTATTGGATCACATTCAACTGAATGATATCAAATCTCACTAGGTACGGAATATAACCACCAAGACTTAATGAGGTTGACTCGACCTGAGAATTTAACCAAGACATCCCTCTTATTTTATCCATTAAAACCGCTACAGGGCTCCCCGCGCACGCGTCCTTTGACCTGCAGAGCATTCCATTCTTTTCCCTTTTCTTGAGGCTGAATTTGGTGAATACCCCTCGGTAGCACTCCGAATTCTTTGTCCCCCTAGAACTTGCGCTAAACGGTTGCAGCGCAGCGGCGTGGATAGTTGTAAATGATCCTTCAAGTATCACTTTAGTGTATCCCCTATTCCGAGTCAGAGTATCAGCATTTTCACTTCCACCACACCTGTTAGACAAACGATTTGTCCGTAGCCTCCCGCGCCACGAATTAGATCCGCGCTATTCCTGTGGATTGCCGGAAACAAGCCTACGTATATCTTATATACGTGCTTCTTAGTGGCAGCATGATTTCAATACAGGCTCCGCCTTGGTAGAAAAAGCCATGCGTGAGCTATCAATGGCTAGTTCTGTTGCGTCTATAAGATGAGAAGTATCCTTCGCACTACTTACTATGGCGAAGTTCTCGTTCCGAGTGGCTAGGCTTACATCTAGTGATCTGGTGACAGTAATACAAAGGAAGATACACCTATTCTGGGCTTTTAGGCTGCATGTTGAACTGGCATACATTTCCCTACGTTCCCTAAATGTGCTACGGCAGTATCGAAACAATAGCTAGGCTCTTTACATACTGACATACTACTCAGCATGGGTTGTGCATTCGTCTGACAAGGGTCCTCGACGCACATCATCGATTCATCTAGCAAGTAGTATCGGAGGCACAGATGGGGTGTGAGAGATCCTTCAGGAGTTGTGACTCGACGACTTAACCAATCAATTCCCTCCGCTTACTCCTAGGAGACGTTGCTAATATATTAGGTAGGTGTGTTTCGTCAAAGAGAGGGAAAAAAAATGCGCAAAGAACATAGGATGTATTTGTGTTTTGTGCTTTGTGTTATGAGCCTCGAGTCAAGCTCAAATTAAGGTCTTCCTGGTCATCCGTATGAAACACTGTACAGCATAAGTACCTACCCTACCTATTATCCACTGTATTATTCGGACAATCCTAATTCATATTTACCTATTGTAAGTCCGAGCAAGCCCGAGATGGCGGATCTAGTCCAGCCTAGCCCTTCCTAACCCGCTATAGCGTTGTAGCGTTGCAGCTAGTCCTACGAGATACAGTTTACGATTTGTTGTAACATCTACGTGCCTGGTAAGTATATCTTCCGACCAAAGCAGCAAAGCCTGCAAAGGTCTGTGAGGCAACGTTAAAAAAAGAAGTAAAACACTTCGGGTTGTACCGCTATGGTTATTCGTTACCTCTAAGCCTCCGATTATATAAGAACATCATACGAAATAATCTGATCTGAATAAGATTACACTATCAAGGTGGCGAAGCAATGGAGCTAACGTTTGATAAGCGTTTGCGTCACTTGCCGTCAGCCTTTTCGACCGAAGTCATGTTACAACCGAAATCCGTGGAGTACATAATAGATATACGTGCATCGCACATACATACCTCGTACCTACATTAGCAGACGTAGATTCCCGCTCAGCTCCCCATCTTTCTACATCTCTCAACTTCTTAAATTAGAGTCTTATTTAGTAGACTCTACGTGTATCAACTTAAAACAGCACAGATTTTCGTATACAGCCTCACAGCTTAAGCGACTCAGCGAATCAAGTATCAGACTTAAACGCCGTACGACAAATAGGATGAAAAGAGCCCATCTTTCTATTTAGGTAGAAGCTAGAAGTTTAAACTCGTATCAATTAGGCATGCAAAAATAAAAAACCAAGGCTGCTGTATTGTTGTGGATGCATTCTGTTTGTGGGGTGTTAATACCCCTATTCCAACTTGGCGAACGTACGGAATACGTAGTAGATGATGCACTACCATGTGTATCACTTCGCAGGCCTTGGCAGCCTTAAATCGTTGTGCATGTTTGTCAATTTTGTCAGGAAGAGATTGTGAAGGGCATTAGGTTAAGGGATTAGGCTCTTACCCTGTTACCCCTGATGCGCTGATGCGCCGGCTTGCGTACTAACAGACAACAAAAAAGGCTAACAATCTTGGAACTGCAACAGGCGGAACCGACCCGAACCCCGCCAAGCGTAAATCCGGTGGATCTCTCCTTACCCCGAACCAGTTTCCCTTTTTTAGCTACCGTAACATTGGGACTGTCCAATAAACATACCTAATTAGGTTAGTTGCGACGAGGTTCCAAGATTTAACCTGCCTTAGGACATCGGTAAGCATCACAAGTACCTAAGTACCATTATCCGGGTTAAAAGGGTTCAACGTTGTTCCGCTGTCTCTAGTACCTCAACTTTCGAATCAAGGTCCCGAGGTTCACAGACACGTCTGAGAAGGGCCCCACATCAAATTAATCTTTACGACGCGTTTCTCTCAAGCGTCCCACCAAGTATCAAACTAGAGCCGAACGGGATACCTATGACTTTGTAACCATATGTCCATGTTGTTTCTAACGGTATCGATGAAATCCATCGTAAGCTTGTCGTACCAACATATTTGCATATAGCATGTCAATGTCCCGGAACCGGGATATTAGAGGCTTCTTCGGCAAAAGTGCCAGCCGTAGTAACTCTGAATCCCAGCCGGCCTCCTTGTCAGAACCGGCCCGGGATCTGCAATATTCATTCTCATCCTCTAGGACACCTCCGAAACCCATTCCGAAGCTACGTGATCGGGCCGATGAAATTAAAGGGTCCGACGATGAGGGCGGCGACTCGGACGACTCATTGGAGTCCATATCTGCATTCATCCAACGGAAAAAAGGTCCTGCGCCTTACGAAAGAGACTCAAATCTAACCTCCACGCCTAGGGCGAAGAGGATAGCCCCTAATCCAGCTTCTCTACTGAAATCACCATTGACGATACAGCCTAAACATAAATTTGACCTCAAGTACTTAATCAACCATGCTCGGCAGTCTGACCGGGCAGATGAGAGTGCTAGAATAGCAGATGAGCTCATCAACCAGAGCGAAGAAGATGATGAGAACGGTCAAATTCTAACAGAAGTGCAAAATGACCCAACGCTGTTGCAAAAGACAGCTAAGGAACTTCTTAAGGATGACGAGGAGGACGCCAAAGGTGACAAATTGATGAGGGCTATGAACCGTACTAAAGTCGACGGGTCTCAGCGACTATACTATTTCTTTAGTCTCGAACAGCCCCTATTCAAACCTCCTAGGAGTCCATTCCCGCAAAAGGCGGCAAAGGGGTGTTGGGGATGTCTCGCTAACTCGCGAACGCGAGATCAAGCCGTCATTCTCGGCTTACCCCATGCTATCGCCTCCAAGGGTAGGGCACTCCCGGATGAACTTTTCCTATGGATCCTTGACGAGGTCTGCGCCGAGAGGAACGCCCAGCTGCGCATACAGTACCGCAACCTTGTGGCTCTGTGTCCTGATAGCATCAAACGTCTCGTCACTGAGAAGCGACTATACTCTATGCTCGAAAGATTAGGTGGGCCAAAGTACTCTCGCGGCCAAAATAACTCTAAGCTTGAGAGTTTGCCCAAAGTGGAAGATCCGTATCCTCGAAAAGATTGGTCAGGTCTGGTGACTTTCCTTGAACTATTAGAGCGCGTAGCCCCGAACATGAGTACGCAGAATGTAATAGGGGCTATTAAACTGCTACTACGGATGGGACTCGATCCCCTTGTGAGTACGACGGTTCGTTCTGAGCATGCCGCAGCGATGGAAGCTCTCGTCACGGCATTATCGAAGTTGAGTACATCCCAATGGAACGAAACTGTAAGTCTTAGCCCCCTTTTCTATACGTCTGCGACCAATCAAACTAATATCTACCAAGTGCGAGACAATATCTTCTTATCTATACGAGAGCGTAGACGAGCCTATGCATCAGGCCGTCCCTATCAGCCATATGCCTAAAACTACCGCCAAGCTCCTCGACCTATGCCGGCGCATGGCGGCCGTGGTGCTCTTCGAGGACCGGGAGCTGGGTAGTAGACCAGTCGACGAAAATTTAGCGCTTGCTCGTGTCATAGATCGGCTTGACTCGAGTGATTTCCGTGTCGGGGCATCTACCAACTTCGAGGACCTACGGGCGCTAATAACGCTTCTAGACATCGTCATCGGCAACGCGGGCTTTATTATGCAGCAGCACTCGGGAAGTAGTACGGAGGACGCAGCTCGCAAGTTCGATGCCGACATCGATGTCCTAACGTTTAAGCTTAAAGTGATACATGATAAGATTCACGATAGCACTCTACTCTCCCGGAAGGTCGCCAAGGCATCCATCGACTTGGTAGCTAAGCGATTAACATACGCGGTGCGCACGCGGCCGCCACCTAAGACAAGTATCTTCGACTCAGAACCCAGAGAGGACGCCAATATACCCAAACAGCGGGCATTCATGAAGAACTGGGCTCAGAAGAAGGCGGAGCGGAACAATGCTGCCGCTGCGGTGAGCTAATATGAAAGAGGAAACGGATGACAGTATGGCATGAGTGTTGTACGACTAGCTATTGGTAATATAGAGGATAAATTGGTGTTTTATTGATGCCGACGTTCCTGCAACGCCTTATGATATACAGCAAGCAGCCTTCTAGTGAGCACCATCAATAAATAATAGCACGGCTCTAGATTCCGTGCCCAAAACGCGACTGACTATTCCTTATAAAAAAAACCCCTCTAGACGGGAAGAATAGTATAACGCTACCTAAGCATAATACTCTGCCCGTCCCCTTCTCTGCTTTGCCGACGTCCAGCGTTATTGACATGTGTTTTGTGTTAGCGCTCATGAGTGAAGTTAAACATCGATGCGAGGTTCTCTGCTTAATCGTAGAACTTGCGGTTGGGGTTCTTGCCGAACAGCGCCTCTCGCACGGCGGGGAGGGCACTGCTTTGTAGGAGTAGCAGTCTCTGGTCAAAGGTGTTGTTGATCTCGATCTTGCCCTGGCCACCTACAATAAATAGTCCGCCGGAGCTATATGTGATAATTCGTCGTCAGCGTGCCATCTCATCTTACACTGGTTTCACCGAACCCTCTGATTCAGACAGTGACAGCACAACTCACCTTTCCTCGGGTAACGGGTTATCCTCGTCGATCGTAACCTTAGTCTCCTTACCCGTATTGCTCTTATACTCGCTCTCGGCTTCCTTGATAGCATCTTTCAGGATGTCGTAGTCGGCCTTTCTGGCGCGGACCTGGACTTCGGGCTCGAAGAGGTCGTATAGGCCCTCGAGGAGTAGATTCTTGAGGATGGTGCGGTAGTTGGCGGTGTCTTTCGTGCCCTCGTTGAGACGCTTGGAGGCGGCTGTGAAGATGTCGTCGAGGAGCTGCTGGCGGGCGGCGAGGACCTTGAGACGGGACTTGTTGGCGAAGGTGGAGCGGGTGATCTGCTGGGACATGGCGGCTTGCTTGAGGCGCTTGGCGTGAGCGGCATCGATGGCGTCGGTTTCCTGGCGCACTAGCTTGGACTTCTCGATGCTGAATTCCTCGTTTGCCTTGATCTCGATCTCACGCGCCTTCTCGAGGGCCTCCTGCTTGATGAAGGCCGTCATCTTGCGGAGCTCCTGCCCGACCTATTTCGCGAGGGGACATTGTTCATTAGTATATTCGTTTATTCTCCCATAACTTGAGATTCCGATGCCGTGTCCAGCTACTTATGCTTGTGGGCGAGGAAATTATTTACCTGGTCGTCGGACAAGGCGTGGACTTGCGACATCTTGGAGGGAGTGTGAGGAGGAGATTTGGTGTTCGGGGGGTTGGAGAGGAGCAAGGCTAGAGAATATCTCAGCTGAGGTATGTTCAAGTGTATTGTTCAAGTAAGCTCGAGTTTTCAATAAAGTTGTCGGATGGCACAATACGTAGGTTGATTGGAGATAGCGGGCCGGTCACAATAGCTCTCCTGCAGCAACGTTGGATGAATTGATAGAACCTTGATCCGGTGACATATGAATGTTATGTTATGTTAGAGCTACATAATGCATGTACATAATATGTATCCATTAAGCGGCATCAGCCACAGCACTTTTTACAGGTACCTAAAGGTTCAATACCTGGTTGAGATGGGATGAACTAAGGGAGTAGTCCCCTGTGGCTAAGCAGCTACCGAAGGTATTGTAGGTACCTGTTAACCAAACCCGCTGTAACCCCACTGTAGCAACCGCTGTACCGCGATGCAAAACCTGGAGTCTGGTGGCCCCTGCAGAATGACTCGTGTCTGTCACTGATGTCTGACCAATGACCACTGACACTTGATGCGGTCGACTGGAGGTATTTTGTTCATGGATACTTACGGTACACTACGTTGTCGCTGCATGTATAATAAGACTAAATAATAAGACTAAACCATACATACTGGCATTGTATGTAGGACAGATCAAGACAAGTTAAAATTGGGAAATTGTCAAAATTGTAAAGAGATCTTCAAGGTTTCGCTGTCCCGCCCTGCCCGCTCCTGCCCGCCCCAACAACAGCCGGACCAAATTGAATCAATTACCCCCATTACCTCATAATCTGATAGTGTAGGTACCCCTTAGAATAGAGTTTGGTACTTTCCCATTTTCTACCGTACCTACAACCTTAAGTCTCTTTTTTCGAAGCATTTGGTACATTCTCGTCTTCTATCACACATAATATCTTGTTCACTTCAACCATATCATCCTAATCATTCATATCGTATTATACCAATTTCTCTTTGTCCCATTTCACCCGAGAGAGAGAGAGAGAGAGACAACACACAGCACTAAGTTAGCTGCCAACTCAACAAGTTTCGAGCCTGTCCGAATTACCGCCTAAGCAATACCCCTGCTCTTGCACTTGGACAGCGTCAACGAGTTCACCGCATCGCCAATTTGGTCTCGAACCCTGCGACTTATTGGATACGTGTCGAACGTTACACCTTACGACTACATCCGGTGATCTCGTCCTCTCCTTAGTCGCGCAGCACTCGAGTATCGATTTACACCTATTTTGTCGCAACTACGGATTGAACGTGGCAGGTTAAAGTCCTTGAAGAGTACAGTCCCATGGGCAGCCGAGGTGTTCTTTCATCTGGCGTGTATCGCAGATGACCTAGCATAAAACTATCGCAATGGGGATATTTGGCAACCTCTCACCCGAAGGCACCATCGCGGTAGGTTTTACTACCTGAGAATATCCGTTGTGCCTTTTCCTTTTACTTTTACTAACATGTTCCGCCTCCCTTAACAGATTGGTATCCTGGTCGGCTTAATATCCACGAGCGTTCAATCTCTCGGCCTCACTCTACAGCGAAAGTCGCATATGCTCGAAGATGAAAAGTACCCGCTCGAATTTCAGCGACCAGCGTATCGAAGGCGAAGATGGCAGTTAGGAATGGGCATGTTCATCTTTTCCAACATAATCGGGAGTACAATCCAAATTTCAACCCTACCTTTACCAGTTCTATCGACCCTACAAGCCGCCGGATTGGTCTTCAACTCGGTATGTGCGACTCTGATATTGGGTGAACCTTTCACGCGATGGTCTTTCTACGGTACCGCACTCGTCAGTACTGGGGCAGCCTTAATAGCGATTTTCGGCGCGATACCTTCTCCGGCGCATAGCCTACCAGAGTTGCTGGACCTGCTCGGTAGATGGCCTTTTATCCTTTGGATGTCACTCCAAGGTGTACTCGTTGTCTCAATGGCCGTGGTTATCGATCTGGTCAACCACCTTAGCAGTCTTTCACAAAACGCCAAGTTTCGGCTGGCCCGCGGTCTAGTATTTGGATGTATTAGCGGCATCCTATCAGCTCACTCGCTTCTATTCGCCAAGTCTGCCGTCGAGCTTGTTATTAGGACAATCGCAGACGGCGACAATCAATTCGTGCATTGGGAGTCGTGGATGCTCGTGTTTGGACTAGTTTCTCTGGCATTAAGCCAGTTGTATTATTTGCATCGTGGATTGAAGTTGATATCCACCTCAGTATTATACCCCCTTGTCTTTTGCGTTTACAACATCATCGCTATTCTGGACGGTTTAATATACTTTCGGCAGACGGATCTCATTACACCTTTACACGGCGGACTCATTGCATTGGGTACTGTCATCCTACTTTCCGGCGTTCTAGCGTTGTCATGGCGTCTTAGTGACGAACAGCATCCGCCCGCTGTTGGACAGTCAACATTGACACCGGGATTAGGATTCGTGGAGGACACGGAAGGAGAGGAATCGTCCCCTACGGATACGAGCTCGGTGGGCCTAGTTGAAGAAGCTGTACCGGCTACCTACGACACTTTTGCACCAAATATAGAGACCACGCCTCTCACGCCGGGTCACAAACTTCCAAGCCGTTGGCACGAGCGTTCGGAGATATGGGACGAATTAGAAGATCAGGATACACAGAGACCATCATTCGTTAAATCCCGATCGATCGCCGTGCCCGGCGACGCTATCAGTGAGAATACACCGTTAATGGGTGATAGGAGGATAGTACCAAGGATAATACCAGGGGAATCAACAGTTTCCCTAACTGCAGCTGAGCCTAGCGGGGAATCCCCGAGGAGAATTTTTCGTCGCCGGAGAAGGTCGACAGGATTCCCAGGCTTTACAGCACGAAAGCATATACGGCGGAAGAATTCGGCAGGCGCTGGGGTTCAAGATGCTCTGAGCGGGATTTGGAAGCTGAGGTGGTGGCGCAGAAAACGTGATAACGGCTCAGATATGGCAGTAGCCGGCTCACCAGGAGACGAAAGTGAAGCGAGGCAGTATTACGATGAGCCAGAGAATGACACCGAGAGAAGGGATTTTAATCAAAGGTCACGGCCGAGAAGTCCTAGAGGCGACGATGCTGTTTGATTAAGAGCTCCAATAGAGGTAGATTATACATGCATTTAGGGTGGGAAGAGCAAATGATAGACATAGGCAGGATAGCCTTAACATTTTTTTGAGACAAAGAAGAATTATTAAGCGCATCTCACAAGGTTGAAGTTTAATACTTTAACCTATGCTTCATGCTTAGTCCAGCGAATCAACTTGCTTTTACACCTTCTATTGACGATCTCTCCCGTTAGTGACTACTCAACTAACCTTGGCTGGTTGACACGGATACAAGTAGTATATGAACGGCATTACCTTAGGTACCTAGGTAAAGATGGTGTCAGCCCCCGCTAGGCATGTTAGTTAGATACATCATGTAAAAAGCCGTCTTACATATGGAGATACCTATATTTAAATAGCTCATGGTACACTACACACGGCACATATAGGCAGTGCCTCACATGATGCATCGATTTCAGCCCCAGGACGCAAGGCACGAGATAGCCACTCGGGTGATTTCCCTGAGACAAACACTATTCGGTACTTATGCTTGTATGAGGCGTGCTGTTGATGGGCGTATTTTCGTATTCCTCTAACTCGAAACCTGGTAAAGCAGGTGAAGGGAAGAAGGGAATATTTCGCTTTATTTTACACATGAAGCAAGCCTCAATTTGAATGAGAGGCCACATTCGCAGTCTCATTTCCCCGTACCTACTAGTTTCACGTCATCATCCAAACCAGTACCGACATGTTCATAAGTAGATCTGACGTTAAGCTGACCAGGTACCTAGGTAGGTAATAAAGCAACTTGAGATGAGAATTTGGATCGCATTTCCTATATCAGGGCGTGAGCTGAGCGTAGGACCTAGGACCTGGCAAGGCTTTTGACCTTAGGTACCTAAGTCTGGATCTCTTCTAAGCAGGATGCATCGCGTTAGAATATGGCAATCTGACAACAGGCGATAACGTAACCAATAGTCCTACTCGCTTGCGGCTCAAGATGGAATATGTGTCGATAATTGCTGCTGGGCGGTGGATTTAATTATGATGGATGACCTCATCAACATAATAATTATCCCCCTTCTTATCCTCTAAGCTCAAAATATTTCATATCTATGACCGCCCAATCGACCAATTGGTTTGTTGTAAGAGTAAAGTCCTCAAGCACCACGAGGTTCAGTTCCAGTCCGTCGACGCTCAGCCGCTACGAAAATCATCGCTATAAGGCTATGTGACTAACGTGATAGCTCGCTCCTAGAGGAAGAAAATCAGTCCTACCTGGTGAGCTGTGTAGGTCATGTGAGATATTCAATATTGTAGCGAAGTAATCTTGAAAGCCCTTGTCCTCGTCGCTGACAGTTAACTATCTCCAATACATCGTAATTCGGTCTTGGGTAACGTAAGCCAACTACCCTTCACAGAAGACTAAGCTCCGGAGACACCAAAATCTAGACGGTCTAGTATCTCGGTTTAAAGATCATCGATGGAAATTATCGGCAATAGAGTTCTATTATCAATATTGATCTAGGGGAAAGGCGGGATAAGCTCACTCACGATCTTTGTCAACAATATTTCCCCCTTTTCGTCTTGGTTTACTAGGTACCATATTTGTCTTCAGTTAGCCAACGAGTAAGCTGGTAAGCTAGCATCTAATCTTTGAAGAATGGAGTCGAAAGAAGAGAGTCGTACAGATCCGGCGTTGCGGACATGGTAAGGGAAACACATGACCAAGCGGCAAGAGAAGGTTATGAGTATATATAGCTTCGTATAGGACACTCGTTGTCTAGACTTCTGTTCACCAGCAGTTCCATCCCGGCCTCAGATCAAGAACTACCTACATAGAAGCCCATCCTATCAACGTTTCCTCACCATCAGTCACCAAAGACATCACCTTACTTATTATCCACCAAACCACCACCACCACTAAAAACCAACACAATGTCTCCCTTCACCAACGCCCTCCTCCTCCTCGCCGCCGCCGCGAGCCAAGCCCTCGCCTACTCGGGCGACATGACGTACTACACCCCCGGCCTCGGGGCCTGCGGAAAATACAACTCGGAAGCAGACCACATCGTGGCGCTGGCGCCCGCGCAGTACGGGCACGACGCGAACCCGAACAACGCCAAGGTGTGCGGGCGCAAGATCAACATCCACTACAACGGCAAGACGGCCTCCGCCACCGTCGTCGACAAGTGCCCCTCCTGCGCCTCCGGTTCCATCGACGTCAGCCCCTCCGTCTTCCAGCAGCTGGCTCCCCTGGCCAAGGGCCGCGTCAAGGTTACCTGGGGATACTCCGGCAGCAACTCTGTTCGCGTGGAGGATCTGGGCGCCGGCGAGATCAGGCTCGAGTTGGTCGATGAGGTGAATGAGGAGTATGCCAACTTTGAGGATGGCGACGAGAGCGAGTTGTAAAGATGGAAGGTCGAGATGTTGGTGAGAGAAGTTAATTGGCTGAGACGCGAGTTTTAGGGGAATGGGTGTTTAGAAACGGGACGAGAGGAAGATTGGTATACTAAAACAAAACTTTTTTTTTTCGTTGATCCTTCATATTCGCTACTAGCTACGAGCAGGAGGAAGGACTAGATTGTACATAAATATATACATATACATCGATACACATACCTATCCGATATCTTTCCGTGAGATGCCAATAGCAACAGCGTTATTGCGATGCTAAGAAGAACCCATCGGAAGTCAACGGAGACAGGCTGATTTAATTCGTCTATAAAGGGTATACAGATGCCCAACCAGATCTATGAGAAGAGACGAGAATGCCTTTGAGCTCTAGAGTCTAATACACGCGTTGTAGACCCCGAACCTACCTACCGTACTGCAGAACATGCCAACTTACCATGGCGCCTAGAATGCTTCTATAGATAAGGGTCGTTGATGAGAACATAAATTCTCGTGACCCCTTAATAGCATATCGTCCCGGCAGCCTCTTACTACCGCTTCCTCTTCTCAGCCTGATCCTTTTTCATATTAAGCCGTCTTATCATCTCGCGATTCCGGGGGTCTAAAAGACCGACGTTTCCCTCGTCGTGGAACCAATGATAATCAGGTCCTAAGCTCTTCCTGTCATCGCCCTGCATCTTAACGCGCTGGACCTTTCTGAGCTTGTCTAGACCGTACTTGCACACCCATAGAGATATTATCATGGAAACACCTGTAACCACAGCGAAGCCCCAGTGCGTCTCTTCGATGAAGTTCTCGAGGTTCATGCCGTAAAGGCCAGCGATGAAGGTGCCCATGGCTAGGCCCAGTGTTCCAACGCTGAACTTCAAGTCTAAGAGCATGAGAGAGTTACGGTTTGCGTCTAGAATTGCCCGAACACTATATTGCTGTCAGCTTAATGTTACGGGCCTAGGCAGTGGGGTCATTCACTTACATATCTTCGGTATTTCGAATACCCGATGTTAAGTTTTGTGCTTCCTGTACGATTTCATCGCAGAGTTTATGATACGACTCTAGCAGCATCTCAACTTCGGTGTGATCGTCGAGTTCTCGTTGAATGTCGCGTGTTTTCTCTGTAAGATACATCGAAGCTAAATCATCGTCGGCTTCGAGAAGTTCCTCGATAGCATCACGGACAAGCTTAGCTTTTTGCACGAAAGTGCTCACCCGCTTAGAGAGTACGAGGAGGATGCGTAGCTTGTGCCGATCAATGTCGTCCTCAAGCTCGCTTAATATTCGGATTACCGGGTCACGGACGGCTTCGAAATCGGCTTCTAACTCTTGAGTAACGGACTGAAGGACGGCTTCCAGAGCTCGAAATTCGTAGGGAAGACCTCCATTCCCAGGAGATGCCTTCTGCTGGAGCTTTCCCTGCAGGTCATACATGAAAGCCGACTGAGGGTAAGAGGCTTTGGAGCCATATACGTCGAACAGTAAGACGCGATTGTATTTAATGAGAACTTTGAGGTGTAGAAGATTAAGCAGGATAGCAGTCGGTCGAACGAGGATGTGTGGTAGGTTGGACGAGTCAATTTTTCGTAGATCACGAGGCAACAAGCCGAACTATGTCGAGTTAGCTACGCAGTTAACAGCTATCGGATATCAATAGGATGGACGAACCCTTGCGATTAGCTCGCTCTTCTTAAATTCACCATCCACCAGTATGACATTTCCGTTCTCGTCAACTTCGGTACATCGTAGCATTGGTTCTAAGGCCGCTTTTTGGCTGAGCTGGCGCCTATTGTTAAACATAGAAGTGCCATCGGCGCCTTCTACATCGGGTAAATCGTCTGGCTCTAAAGGTTTGGGATTCTTCGATCCAAAGCCCCAAAGTCTCTCTCGCCAAGACGGTGGACACGGAGGCGGTGGCGGTTTGCCCGAGGAGCTGTACCGAAGGCCTATATTCGAGCAGAAATATGGGTGGTTCTTTTGGCGAACTGTTCTTGAGGCTCTGTAGCATCGGGTTTGTATGAGCGCATCCAAATCCAACATGCCAGCTTGTAATGGCGCATCCTGGGAGGTCTCTACCGTAGTCCCCAGTCGTAATGAACTTCTTTGATTCTTTCTAGCTGTGCATAATATCCTGCGCAAAGGCTGGCCTATTCTAACGGCGCGGTCATGGTTGGGGCTAAAGAAGCTCAGATTTTCCGATTGTAGGCGAAGAAATCTTAGAAGCCTCAAAGAGGGAACCGGCAAATGCAGCGACGCCATTATGAGGGTCGTCTTACAGCAGAAGAGAGAGGGTTACCAAAGCTGAACCGAGTATCTTGCCATTGTATGTTTTATAATAGCATACGTGGGATAAAAGAACGTAAAGATAGATATCTGTATAGATGTGGATAATTTCTAAAAGTTGGAATACGCCATTTGAAGTTATCGCAGTGTAGCTTCTGAACTAAGACGTGCGATAAGAATTGATATCTATCATTAGACCCGCTTAAGCCGCTCAGAAAAAAAAACTTCGGTCCGCCCAGTATTCCGTATCCATTCCGGCTGATTGGGACTGGTGGGGCTTACACAGGTGGTATAAAGTTTATCCGAAGATGTTCCTCATAAGCTGATAAGATAGGTAGGTTGTTTGTAACATCCATGTACCTAGGTACCTACTCACTATTTCAACATCTTCATCCTCATCGTCGGCCCTAATAAGCGGCCGCACTGCGGTCTACATATAATGTATGCACATTATCATGGAACTGCCAACTCTTAGTTAAATATCTAATTTCTTTGTGATAATAAAAAATAACAAGAATAGCTTCTTGCGCTATCATTTTGGACCCGGTTTATGATACACCTATACATCCAATGTCAACTTTAGTCGAGCCGAGTTTGTTAGGGGTTCACCTTGCGAATCTTCTCCTCATTGATTAGGTCGAGATTTTCTCAAGTTAACCAATTTTTACTATTCACATCCTTATCAATGGAGTTAACTCCTATCAAAGTCCGCGGCAAACGCCGTCTTGGTAACGAGGCTGTCGTCGCTACACCTAAGAAGAAATCCAAGACCGTCGGAAAATCAAAGTTACACAAATCTCGAAGATCTCGTGAATCGAAAGCATCATACCTTGAGAAGATACCGCTAGAAATACTCGAGCGTATTCTATGGTATAGTGAAAACGTCAACTTGCCTCGTTCTAGCCCTCTTATTGGTCGCCTCCTATCAGGCCGTTCTACTCTACGTGAGACTTTCATCGTAGCCTTCCAACCTACCTGGGACGCCTGGTTTGGTTGTGTTGGCGATAGAAACGATTCTACTCGCCCTACTGAAGGCAATCCCGACTTCCAAGTAAGCCCAAGCCTATTATATCTCCATTTACTATATTTGTTAATCTGAGAAGTCCGGTCTCCTGGAATATCCATGGACCAACATCTCCTTCATTCTTGAATCCTGGGACTTTTATGTTCGAAGACTTGCGAAGGCACAGCGCTCCGGAACCGACCAGCCTTTTCACTTCCAGCATGTTAGAATATGGGGAGATCCGGATAACCCAGCCAACATCATGGCAAAAGATGATTCCAACGTAGTGGATTCCCAAGAGGCGAGCCGCTGTTTCTTCCACGATTACGCTGCCTTCCGAGCGATTGAGGAACATAACGGATATTATCTCAGGACGTTCCGCAATCGATCAATTCAGTCCACTTTTTTACAAGTCCACAAAGATACTCGAATACCGGATTCCCTATTCACCTCACCCCACAGTGATGAAAAAATCCAAAAGCTGTTCTGGTTAGTTCGAGGCGGCGCTCGTTTATCTCCTGATCAGACATGGGAGCTTACCCTTCAGAGCTTCCGCGACGCGGTACCGGAAACCTTGCCTCACGTTGGCAAAGTCAATATCACTATGATCAGGCTACTTTATATCCTAGGAGCTTATCAGACTTGGCCCGAGTATGTTAGTAATGATGAGACTGGTAGAATGTACTCTGCCCAGCTCAGATGCATTCGCGACCCAACAGCTGGAATCGAGGATGAGTATGAGTATATCATTGGGATGATGTCTCGAGGTAACTCGGCTCGCATGGCTGGCCCTTAATCCTCGTTTAACAACTCTTGGACATATAGTTTGGGTCTAGGTTAGAACTTTCCGTACCTACCTAACCTAAAAACAATTGTTAGTCGCGTGAGACATCTAAAATACGGATGATCGAAGCCCCAGGATCTTCGTATGTATCCCGGCGGTTATGACCACCTCGATGCTTACTGTATTATAAGTTAGATATTGTGATTCCGTCTCCTCGGAACAAAACATAGGTGATTATTCAACTTCAACGCAAAACCATACTGATTAGAAAGAAGCTACTATATTTGACTACTAACAGTAAGACCTAACTATAGTAGTTATACTTGTCCATTTCGTATGCTCCTCGTCATAATAAGATTCATACTCCTAATGCAAACGACTTACAGTGCGTTGAATGATGAAGCGAACCGGGTTCCTCGTGTGCAAGGTGAATGCAAAGAGGTTTCAGCTTTGCTTCTAAAACAATCGCGACAACGACCTTCCTCCCTTTTCCCTTTTTTTTTTTCTTTTTTCTTTTTTTCTTGCTTTCGATGATGCTTTTCGTGGGTGACTTGTGTATGAATCTTACATACGTACCACCTCCTCGCCTTTTCAAGTAGGCCCTAACAACTCGCGAATCTCAGACGATGAATGCCACGTGTTCGTACAAACGGGTAGAGAAACTCGACCGGCTGATTCGGGTTTAATAAACAGGGATTCGCCAATTGAAGATGACCGGGAGTCGTGTAAGATCCACCTTCTTTTCATTGTCAAGGCGCTCTCGGATCTTCACCTCGAGAGGCCACCAGAGCTCCTCGTCGAGACCGCCGTCGAATTCCATCACCAGAGCGTGGAAGTGGCCGCCAGGAAGGCGGTGGACCCACTGGACGTCACGGATACTCATATCGCGCAAGTGGATGCCGACGCGCAAGTCGTCAGTGCAGATGTTATGCACATCTTCGTAGACTTTTCCCTCTCCGCGATTGAACCAATCGCAAAATGGCATATCGAAGCATGGGTCGCCCATGACGATGGGGTCGATGCGTTCGCGACGGAGGCCACGCTCGTGCATCTCAACCGTGACGAAGCCGAATCCTTCATCGCGGAGGTAGCTGCGGATTTGGTCTACGATGTAAAGCCACTTGCTACCGCGGTAGATGGTTTTCTTGCCCCAGGGCTCGCCGGACACCATGTTCGTGTTGGGTTCGGCCTGAACAACGACAGTGAAAGCACTGACGGTGTGCTGGATCTCGGGGCGCGTCACCACCAGACAGAAGTCGACCTCGAAGTCGAGACCGTTCATCACGTTTCCGACGATGTGATCGATCATGGGCTTGCGCACGTAGAACTCCTCCCAGAGGAAGCCTCCGGGGTAGAAGGTCACGATAGGCAAAGCGGGGGGACGCGGAGCGCCGACGCGGAGGGGCGAGAGCAGGAAGCCGCTGGCCTCGATGGTGGAATTGAAGGGGCCAGACCTGTCCATCTTGATTCTGCTGTAGTAGATTGATGAATAGATGGATCTTGGGCTTTGGGGTGAGGTCGTCTGGTGTCGGCAACAGCTTCTTGTAGCAAGTCCTATTTGGAGATCAGCTTCTCTTGATTCAGTAATCCTGATGATGATGATATCATCAAAATAGAACTCTAGATAGATAAATACTTACTGCGTGCTGGAAATAGGAGGTTGCACAGTCTTTGTTTCCTTCAGGATAATGGTTGTCAAGTCCTGATGGATGTTGTGTGTTGCAGGAAGATAATTATTTATGCCTGGTGAAGAAAGGAAAACTTGTGCCCTAGTGGAAGTCAGTTGCTGAGGTATCTATGGCTTAAAGCGGCTGGTTTAAAGCGGCTGGTTTAAGGCGGCTGGTATTGGCAATCAGATCAAGGATAGAGGCTGGTGGCTACACGAAGTCCAGGCTTTTCACTAAGTACCTACCTGTTGACAGTGTCAAGGCTAAGGGGTAACAGGAGTGGACTTGTGGCTGGGGGACCGCGGCGACGACATGATCATGGTTACATAAAGGCGGCTCAAATCGAGCTAACATCTTCAAGGAATAGCCCTCATACAGCATGGTCACTAACAGGCCGTCTTATGGGTTGAACAATTTATCACTAAGAAGTAAAGATTCTTATTCAAGTATATGACTACGGTGTTACTACTATAAGAGCTCAAGACGGAGAAATTGGTGACGTTTTTGAGTAATGATTGTTCTTGGTCTTTCCAGTGCACTATATGTGAAAGGAGTATAGACGTCAAGACGTCAAGACGTCAAGACACTAATTGTTATTCATGAAGCTTCTCTATATCTCTCAGGGTAACCTAGGTTTAAGAAGTTGAATAACTTCGTCCCAGACCGTTGACAGAGAAAAAAACACCTTAGGCACTCGTAATGAGGGATAATTGCTAAGGTGGATGGGCAAATATCTGAGATATGCTGTACGGTTGTATTTTGGCATCAATAGAAGACGTCAAGAACAAGTGAACATAATTCATGAAGATAAGTTAGGTACATAATAAAACTCAAAGGGGGCTTCGACTTGAAAAAAACTAGAGGACGAGTTGGCTTTAACTAGGTAGTCAATAATTTTACAGTTTCGATAACCTGAGACTTCGAAAGGGATGACTCTCCTCTATAACAATAGTATGGCCACTATGTTGTATAGATTGTTATTTCCTCCTTGTGGAAACAGTGCACATATTTCTAGCTTTCTCCAAGGGGTATCTATTTGGGCTTCCAACCACTGGCTGCTTGTTAATGATTCTTAGATTATTCCGATTTTTGTTACTTCTGGGCTATGAATTATAACACTTGACGGAATCGTGCTTATGCCTTCGTCTACTCGTTGATCTACTTACTCATCCATTTTTCCCCCACAGGAGGCATGTCATGAAGCGTTTGATTTGCAGCCAGAGCGTTATCGACCGCCATTGGTTGTGCTGGCACAACTTCATGAGCCCATAGCTCATCACGGTAAAAGTCCAGTAGCTTAATAGCTGGATTTGACTTAACTGCGTTGGCCATCAAGATCGTCAACGCACGTCATACAAAAAATCCCGTGGGTTTCACAATGGGGTTACTACACAATGGAGTTACTACTATCTCCTGTGCATACGATGGGCAAAGGAATGTACTATATATTAGGCCTGGTGCCTTCATAAATAAAGACCCGTAAGCCATTACGTAGCTATGCTATATGTATACTGTAATTAGCATACGGTAGAAAGGCCTTTCCGAGGCATAAGAGTCGCTTGACGTAGTGAGCGGCACCCCTTCTGATGCGAAATCTATCTTGATATATGCCTTAGGTATTTAGGTAGGCATCTTAACTAGGTATTTCAAGTTTACTAAAGAAGCTCCAGAGTTCAAGACTATGAAAGGAGTAGGCACTTCACATTTCTAGGTATAATCACCTATTAGGTAAACTTACTATCTTCCCAAAGTAGTGGTGCTTTTATAGATATGTTGTACGGGCTAGATCGTCTGCAAGGGGTGCAGGAAAGGGGTTTTACAGTGTGCCGAGAATCAGCCAATGTATCTAAATAAGTGCACAAGAACCAATACACTCACACAGAACTCGACCCGGCATATATATCGAAATAGTTAGTTCACGTTGGTTTGGGGTGCATCCCTCGGAAAGTCCTACGACCCCTTTCTTAATCGCAAGAATGTATACAAAACCGGGGACGAAATCCATGGCTACAATCGTAGTGAGCTTGTATGTTTGAATACTGGTTTACTGATCCATATATTCTTGCCAATTTGTATTGGTCCTTGACGGCTGTTGACATCTTATGGCTCAATAAGAATATATTGTAGTCTCTATGAACTATACGCAGTTGATGGGTTAGTAGCCTACATGGTAACAAGACATATGACTTAGGCACATCGTCTCACGTTGGCTTGTTGAGATTTAACTGATGGGATGGGATCAACGTACTACTTTGTGTGTATTTTCACGATATTCGTCTATCGATAGATGTTGAGATGGCTTAAGGTCGGCGTTTATATCATTACCTATCTACAACAACAGTACCACCGATATACATTTCAACTGTAAGTCTTCTACTTTGCCCTTGTTCCTGGAAACTGGTTACCTTTTAAATATTCAAGTCGGTAGGCCAGCTCTGGTGTTAAAGTCGGATTTTAGGAAATGGTTAGCTCCGGAGCGCTTCACCGAACGTTCTACGCGGCATAGCGAACAAGGAGCTAATCAGGGTAGTCCATTCAAATGAGATTTCGCATTTAGTACGATCAACTTCGAGCCCAATCGCACGCGCCGGCTTCCCTTTCTTCTTCCCTCTCCCTCTTCTCTCGTTCCCACTACCTCCGTCCTTACTCTCACGTTCGTAAGTATCCTCCAAGATAATCTTCTGCGATTCGACTACGAACCTATCGCTGTCGATAACGTGGTGTTTCCAGTGCGTCCACTCGCAGTCTGGGCCGATGGTCAATCGCAGTCGTGCTTCGGTGGCGCGGCCGCCTGGCGGCGGAACCCCGTGAGCCGACCGCAGCCATTCCGCTACCACCGTATCATCGCCGCATTCGGCGAATAGCGGACTCATTTCTAAAGTTGGGTCGTCCCGGTGTAGCAGCGATACGAAGTACGCGCGCTGCCGGTCAGATGATAACCGTGATAGTACCAGAGGTAGAGATATGATGCGTTTTATATTATTACCGCTTCCGCCCCACGAACGCCGCGGAACCAGTGGGTTTGGATCACCCACGTACAGCCACCCGCGCAGCCGCGACAGGTGCTCATCCACGAAGGCAGTCTCGAGCGCCGCCTTCAACGTATGGGAAAGTAGACGCAAGCCCGCCCAAAGTTCCGGTAAGTCCTCGCTGTGGACCAGCGTACGCATGATCTGCGTCCATATTTCCAGGGGTAGCGGCGGACAGCGGGAGATGGTGATGATGTGAGGTACAGGAGTAGGAGTACTCGTTGCTGTCCTGGTTTTCCGGGGTCTGTTCATATGCTTTAGCATTGTGGAATATCTGGATTTTAATATGAAGAACCAGACGTAAATCCGTATGAATTGTGTAGGTTAGATTAATTGCAGCTTGAAAGACACTGACAGATAACGCGAGTCAGATCTCCGGCTTCCCCGATGATGATGATGATGATAACGTTTACGTCTATTGGTCTGCTATCCGGTGTCCCCGAATTAGCCCGTAGGTCTCTCGGATCTCATCCCGTGTTTAATCGAGCTTAAATACTTGAGATAACCTAGGTTGTTGTTTAACCTTGATTCTTAAAGTTGAGCTTCTTTTGACTTGATAAGATCCGTCGGCCGACGAGATGCGAATTACTCTTTGGGATATTATCGCGCAATTACATATCAGGATGATATCTATTTAACTGAGGCGTATGCAGTTAGGTACGATGGACATATCATATGTCCGAAATGTGAGCCACGGGGATTCTGAGATGAGCCGGGTGTAAATGTGGCTTAGGTACCTCTTATTACTACATTCCACATCATTTATGACACGCCATACGGACAATGACAACTCGACGTCCTTATTCTAAGAGGGACCCACGCTGCTCCTTTGTAATTATCTAATTGCTGACATGGCTTATAATACGTGTCCTCGACTTTATCCTCTGGTAGACCACTAAGAGCCTTTGTAGATAACTAGCCCAGCGGTTACTTGCAAGTATCTCATATTAAAGGTCTTGGTTATAAGGTTCTTATTGAGCGGATTGGCAAGTCTAAGATTTTAAGATAAAATACCTAGTCAGAACTGTCTACTGTCAAGCCACACACACGTCTTATTCGAGGGCTAATAAAGGACGGTTAGTAAAGGAGTAATGTAAGCTGATAAGGCGAACCGATAATTTATCAATCCTTAAATGTAACGGCAAACCCAGTAAGCCTCGAGTTTCGGTTGTATCGCAGGGCAGAATGTGGCCAATGAGTTGGCATGCTATGTAATTTATGAAGATCCTCATGATAGCGCTTATCGACCCGCGCCATTGGGGCTGTAGTATTAAAGAGCGGAAGAACTATACATTATAGTCATGGGATTGGCCATCAAAGGATTATATAGCGATATATTTATATATCTCTATCTATCTGGTAGTAAATTTGTAAAATCGGATTTGATATCATTCAGGGACCTACTGTACGGGGAATAATATAGGCACTTTTTGGGTTGGGTACCTTTTATTAAGGTATGGGGCCGTGATCTGTAAATGGGCACGCATTTAAGAGGTACCCAGGTATCCGTACATGCTTGTATAAGCGTGGCGTTTCAGCCTGTGGCATTCCTGGGCATGTGAATAGAGTAACTACCTAAGTATATGGAAACCAAATTTTAAACATCATTCCGAGTTACGGAACAGTATTAATAGAAGGTATCTTTCAGATCAATACTAAGAATGAAGTATTATTATAATAAGAAACCTGTAATCATGTCGTGTCGTACCTACCTCCGAGATGCGAAATTGACAACGAAATTGATTACATGTAGGTACCTAGTACTTACCTAAATTTAGCGCCGATGGGGCGTGGCAAGATCCACAAAGTGGTCCGTGAATCCGCTGTCCCGCTAACGCCACAGCAGATACTAACCCACTAGGTAACTTCCCCTTTAGCGGCGAGATTGAGGAGATTGAGGCTTGTGATTACTCTTCTGACTTCATTTCCGCCAAGGTTCAAAGGCGACTTGGGAGGCACGATTAAGTTTAGGTAGGCCTAAGAGGTACCTAAGTCTACTACCTAAGTCATTCAAGATTAGCGACAATTTACAATTTACAATTTACATTTACCTCTTCACTTTACCTCTTCCGCATTCCATCTCCGACAAGACGTGTACCTAATAACATATTCTTTCACTTCACGGCTTGCGACGTCCTTTCGGTTTTCGACTTTTCTTATTTTGTGTTCTTTTTCAATCAGCATATTCAATTCCGATACCACCGACCCTCCAATCAATCGACAAAGCACACCCTATCTGCACTGCAACGTTTTAGGCGCATCACATCATCAACTCGAGTTGCCCCCTTTCTTGTTTTGTTTTCTTGGATCGAACCACGCTTTTTCTACACCTATACCGTGTTAGCAGTCCCGCGACAAAGTCAAGATGCCGTCGCTCTGCGGATTAGGAGGATCAAAGACAGTACAGCGTAAGCTGGTTCTTTTGTAAGTTTACCCATTCTTGGTTATTGGTCATATCCATTGCGTGCCTATGTTATGCGCCGAAACCCTATTGTGAGCCTACAAACACTAATATTTCTAATAGGGGAGACGGTGCTTGCGGAAAGACATCTTTACTGAACGTCTTCACGCGAGGATATTTCCCGACAGTTTATGAGCCTACGGTCTTCGAAAACTACGTTCACGGTACGTCTAATATTTCAGGCATTTCCAGCACAAACATGGAAGGATGAAGGAGGGCATGATAACATAATCAGAGCGCTTTTGCATCGGCTTTTGCGTCGGCTTTTACTAACTAGACATTAGATATTTTTGTGGATAACGTGCACATCGAATTATCATTATGGGATACTGCCGGACAAGAAGAATTCGACCGCTTACGAAGTCTCTCCTACGATAACACGGACGTGGTTGTACTCTGTTTCAGTGTCGATAGTAAAGACTCGCTAGAAAACGTGGAGAGCAAATGGGTTGGCGAGATCCAGGAGAATTGTCCTGGCGTGAAACTGGTCTTAGTGGCCCTCAAGTGCGATCTGCGAGAGAACAACGAGGAAGAAGACGATGCTGCTGCGAGCGGAACAGACGGTCCCCAAAGAGAAAAGAAGCCCATGATCGACTACAACCAAGGCCTGGATGTTGCGCGGCGCATTAAGGCTATGCGCTACCTCGAGTGCTCAGCCATGAGGAATCGAGGCGTCAATGAGGCATTCACCGAGGCTGCTCGAGTGGCTCTGAGCGTCAAACCAAGCGGCGAGGGCGATTCGAAATGTACTGTCATGTAAGATTAGTACGAATCCGTGCCACCCGACTCGATACGAATTTCCTTCTACAGGCCCTGGACAAGCGCAGGAGTTTGGGATTAGGAGAATATCCCTTTTTTTCTTTTTTGGAGTGCCAATGAAAATTCACCAACGCTGTGCGCGGGCGCAGCACCACGAACTTGTCCTCGATGCAGTTCACTTTGTATTATCTGATACGCACTTCCTTTCCCCTGTACATATACTTATTTGCCCAACTTCTGCGCACATACATGGAACTTGGACTTATTATCTGTTTTTGTAATCATCGAGGGATGGATGGTATATTGCCGATGAGAAGCAGCACTCAAGAAAGGAGGTCCTTTTGTTATTTATTATGGCTAGACGAGTAAAGCTATGATAATTTCTTTGCGCCGATGGAAACCATATCTCACTGTTGGTCTACCTTCCTATCTTCTATACTTGAACGTAACCCGAAAAGCTAGTAAAGATAGGGGATAGGTAATTAAGATAAAATTGCTTTCGGAAACAATGCCGTTTCCTTCGTTATCGTCGTATTCGTCATTCTCTTCCAAGGCATCCTATAGATCTTGTGAGTAGGGTGGATCAGCAGTACTTGCAAGAGTAGGTACCTAGTGTATACTACGTGTATTTCAAGGATCACAAAATTCAGGCATTGGGTGGCCTTGGGGTGGAAAAGAGGTGCATACATCCAGCTCGATACCTATCTCTTGGGCAATGATTCAGGTAAATATGGAACTCGTGCCCCTGATTCGCACTCCAGACGAATCCTACATTCATTCGACACCTATTGAATGTTCCATTCGGAACTGATTGCATTTAAATTAATGTCCATCGCCCAAGTCTCAAAATCAAGACTATCAAAACCACCGAAGCTGATAGCATCGAGATCGCTCGTCCCAGGAGCCCATACATCAGAAACATTATCTAGTTCTTCTGCGGGATCTAGCGGTGTCGTGACGGTTGAGATAATGAAACCACCTAAGATCTGATCCAAATTACGCGAAATAAGATTGGCAGCTTGCATGCAGAATTCGTGGTTTGTTTCTCCAGGGCTGGTCGCGCTTTCGAGATGAGATGCTAGCACGGAAAGATTTCGTATTAAGACAGAGCCGCTTATGCTGGGCGGTAGAGCCCTTGATGGATTTCGGGTAACGTCTAGCAGTACAGAGGTTAAGATGGCGGCACTGGGTACACCATAAAAAAGGATCTTGCGCTGGTTAGTAAGGTCTTCTCGGTGAAGGGGTAAAGTTAGATACGTACGACCGTAGGGATGCTGTGAGGGTAGCGGAAGAACCTGCTCTGAGCGTTTGTCATTTGAACTACCGTTTCGAGCATATTCTTCGAGACTTCTATCAACTCCGGCTTGTGTGATGTGCTGCCTTGTTGAAGGAGGCGATGAAGTTGGAAAATGGTGTGAAGATATGCTAGGTATACCTTCCCCAGCATAAGACAAACAGCGGACGGCAGATTCGACCTCCAGCAGTCTCTATTGTATATAAGATGCTTAGGAAGAGAGCTCCAGGCATTGTTACATCGATTCAAGATCCCCCTATGGCATATTAGTGCTAAAATCCCGTTCTAACAGGGGCGGTTATACCTTAGATAGATTTCGTCGACGGACTGTACCGATCGAAACTGGTATTCAACCATTTCTTCCCTAAAACCAGCTAGGATATAACGTATGCGAGCCCATGTTCTAGTCTTATAGTTTCCATCAGTACTCCAGCCAGCCGGTGATAACCTACCCCTTGCTCGTTCTAATACCTCTGGCGAAGTCGCAAAAAGTTCATCCTCAGATAGATCTAGCGGCAACTTGCAGTCTGCATGCCGAATGGGTATCCGGGGCGGTCGATTGAAGACCATCGCGAAGACCTTGTCAATATAATATGCAGTTACGAAGATCCCCCGCCGACATTCGGAAAGGAAGAATGGTACCGCTTTAACTGAGTAAACCGCCTCGCGATGTAGACCTAAGGCGAAGACGTCCGTAACAAGGTCGCCAAATCTACGCCAAACGCTCAAGCCTACGAGCGTATAAGCATGCTAAGTCATTATAACTAGAGAAGGGATCATACTTGCATCCCCTTCAATGAGCATCATAAGCTGTAAATTCTCATAGGCTAACCAATTAATGATATCATTTGTTTGCGTAGAAAGCTCACGAGCAATCCGTAGGCTCAAGTTGCTACACCGGATCATCTCGCGGATGAACTCGGCGTGCTCCTTTTCGTCGCGACCGATGCCGCAGAGATAACAGCGAGCGGCAGTCGTGTATAGGAGGCCAAGCGTTTCTAAGCATAGGTTCTCTCCGCTGAACAGTTCACAGAATTGTTCAAGATCCAAATCCGGTTTCACGGAAATTTCGGACGAAGCAGCGCATAGTACAGCCTCAGCAAGACGCGAAAGGCCGTCGCTGCATCGCGTCACATCTTCCCCGACGTAGCCTTTAGTGATAGGGCTGGACCGAATCGATGCTACGAGCTGTAAAATAATTGGCCTCGGCACGAGGGAAACCTGTCTAAATGGGAGGTATTCTTGGAATAGTCTCTCGACTAATGGGAGAAATTTTAGCTGTAAGATGATTTCTTCCGTAAAAGTTAAGTATTCCTCGTAAGTTTTCTTGTCAAGCGATTCATATAGAAGAGTCCGCGATGCTGTATTGCTGGTGTCATTCAAGATGAAAGGCCACGTCTGAAATTTTGGGGTTTCCTCGAGTGATTCATTCTCGATGATATTACGATGAGGGCTTACGTTGCTCGTAATCTCATTCTGTTCAATATTGTTTAACTGAGTGGATGTTGGCCTTGGCGGAGTTGATTTTTGTTGACCTCGGCGTTTGGTCAGCGGTGCGGGATGATACCAGCATTGTGATTCGAGTCCTCGACGCCGACAGGGAGCACAGACGGGCTTTTGATGATCACACCGGATCTTTGCCTTACGACAACGCTCACATGAAGCTTGAGAGCCGTTACGACGACGGCTTGTTGTTGACATGTTGACGTAGTCAATTTGCAGAAGCGCATTAGCTCGTAAAACAAGCAAAACGGAATTGGAAGTAATCCGTTCGCATCGGCATAACGAGGATTGTCGGAGTAGATATTATTGGACGTCGTCGACCTGTCGGACTAACCGGCATAATCGGACTAGTCAACTCAACTACCTAACGGACTACCAAATCCCCAGTTCTAGGAAAGGTGCTGCATCTACTTTTAATGCTTATAAGCTGCTTGAAGGGGTTACCGCTAGCGAATCAACGTGGACTCATACTCCTAAAATGGAAATTCCGGGGAAATCATCCCCACTCAATGAAGCATTAATACCTGGAATATGTTATGGCGTTATTATCAATTACATAAAGGATATTGGCGACTATCGTTAATAAACTACCTGGATACTCAACACAAGCTGTTAGCTTACGTGGTTCCTTGAAATACCTTGTTGATGGATGCCTGATGAACTCCGAGACACATTTCTTACGCCGACGCTGGGTATGTCATCTAATACAGAGCCTCACTAGTCAGTACAATGGAGTATATATTATGGTTGCTATTGGGGAAGCCTTCTAGTGATAGTGTATATATATACATCGATTCTAAACTACGAGAGTTAGTCCAAAATATTGTATCGAAACCTAAATCCTGTTTACTGAAAATCTGTCTCCGACATCAAAATCATCTATAAAGATGCCCCCTACGACCAACCAAGAGCAGTCATTCAGCGCTATGGAGAATCACGCACATTTACGCCAAGTTCTGTCTGGAATTAATAACGAAGTAAGTTTGACCAAATATCAAAACTTAAATGCAATTAACTAGCATAAGGCTAACATAATATGACCAACCTCGAAGGAATACAAATTAGCACTCGACCGCGATAAAATTTCTTCTACCTCGGGCGACAAACCCAATGGCTCAAAGGGCGAGAGCACTAGGCGCTCAAATAATACAAAACCAGAAATCAGTCCTGTGATTTTGGGTATTGTGTTCAGCCTGAAATAGGATGGGGGCCTCTAGTTGAAGGAGGAATATGGAGAGAATGTGTTTGTTTGGTCGGAGTTTGCCCTGTCTCATGTACACATGGAATAATATGTTTATCTAATCCGAGGAATCCTAATTTCTCGCTGCTGAAGTTATTAAACTCGTAATACCTTTATAGCTGGTCCCTCATTCTTTATTCCTGGCTAGGACATTCCTACCGATAGGAATGCTTCACGACCTTGATTACACCATCATTGTTTGGCCTCTCGATTTTCACAAAGATATCAACATCTTGCGCTGTTTTTTTCGTAGCTGTATTATCGTTCGCATCATTACCTTCTTCAAGAAACCCCCTAAGCTCTCCGGATATAAGTTGGCTAATTACCTAGATATGTTCCAAATATTCCCAACCCGCGAATAGCAACCACTTTTGATATACAAGATCGCAATGGCCGCAACGAAGGCTAAGTGATGTTTCAGGATATTTCGTATAAGCCAAATATATAGGCGCATGCTTAGCCCACGTCTTGTCGGATACATCCCAGAGTTGTTCACTGATATTGTTTTGACATAGCCCCGAGACATTCGACGTCATGGGGCGCATCCCATATTGATACCTAGCCCATATCAACCCACGAGGCCAGATAAACGATGACCTAGTAAAAATAGTAGTTTGTCCCTTCAGTTAGGAGGCGACCTCGTCAGATTATTGAGGAGATTATGCATTTAGATTAGGTAGAGGGCCAATAAATTTTACAGTTCGTTTACTACCAAGTTCACCCGATTAACAAACGTTGTCTACATTAAATAAAGAAATGCGCCATGCGTACGTGATTCTAATAGCGGTAGGGTGGATAAGAGGACCTAAAGAATGACCCGCGGAGCCTTAGATATATGAATAATGGATAGCTTTCCTAAGAGCTTTACTACAACCTTACGTAGGTACCGTAGTAAACTGGGCTTTTTGATGCTTCTCTAAAACAGTGCTATTGTAATAATACGTATTTTATTGTACTGAGAGCATTACTTTGTTTAGACACAAAGAATTGTAATTCTTCTTCGAAACTAAGAATTGATTCTACACAAAGAGTGCTCAGCCTGCACACACTATGGACGTAAAGCAACAACTATAATCTAGAATAAACAGGAATCGAGTTTCTTCTCAAACTAAGAGACAAATTTCCTTAATAAGTCCTGTCTAAGTAATAGTATAATGATTAGAGCCAAAAGCTTATAGTTTGTACAGCACAGTAGTACAGTAAGTCTCCAATATGTCGAACTTCTCTTGTGGCCATAGTCTAAAGTCGCGCGTTGGCGCCAATCTAGCGCACATAGCTCAAGACAAACGGAAACCATGTCCGGATTGCCAGACACGAACTCCAGGGGGGGTTCTCACGCTGTTGAAAATTCTACAGAAATCATGTGAGACGAAAAAGCTCAGCGATCCGAACATCAAGCAGTACCTCACTACATACATCTTTGATCGGTTCATCTCTCAGCGTAAAAACACTTCTACGGGGTTCAAGCAGCAATTTGACGAGATCTTCCAGGAATGGGGTACGGCAACCTATTATATTCTAGACCAAAAGCAGCTCTCAAACCTCTCCGTCACTATCCGGGCCCGCTGGGGTAGCGACGTCGGCAGACAAGCACTTCGAGTTGTAGCTATAGCAGCGCTCAAGGAATATGAAGTCTTCGACCCGATAGAGCCGGCAGATGCGGAGATACTAGCCACACTAAATAGGATGATTGGCTTTATGAGAGACAGGGCTACCGCTGTCGAGACATTCGACCAGCTAGAAGTTATCTTTGACGGGGCCGCAACGTTAGGAACACTAAGAGACAATGTCACATCCGCGCTTATAAGACTTGAGGATGGCTTCACCAAGTGGGACGCGGCAGCAAATAAGTAATCGATATGTGTGTTATGTAGTGGACCAGATAAAGTAAAGGTTCCCTACTAAGAAATATCTAGAATATTGTAGTTAAAAATAAAAAATGATATAACCGCCCCTCACAAAGCAGTTGGGAGGAATGTATGAATAAGATCAAAATATCTGGCTCTCAAATGTTATATGTAATATAAGTGAATGGATACATTGTATCAACTGCATTAAGTACCTAAGCTTCCAAAATCATATGGGCAATAGTAGTGCACACGCCTTTGGATACGAAAATATCACGGGCTTGATAAAGATCATATGTAATAGTACGATAAAGGTAGCCGACGACGTTATTGAGGAATCGCACAGCGAATAAATGTGGCGCTACGACAGAACACGAACTCTTTGGTAATAAAGTTGAGCATTGTTGCTGAAGTTTAGATACATGTATAATCTTTCAGGCATTCGCTCGACGCTCGTGTAGTTGCGAAGAACTATTTACATCGAAGACCATTCGTTACTGTGTGCTGGCATTAACCATTATCCAATATCCGACACACCATGGAGGTATTTAAGCCCCTTATCTGATCCCGACGCCGCCATTATGCAATATGTAAACAAAGAAAGCGTAGGGATGTTTCTTCGGATATTAGCCCGAAGAATACAACTAGTTGATTAAAGTTGAAGCACTTATATCGCTGCAACGCTCATCGCAATAAGGTAGCGCTTCTTTCTTGCTTCACAGTCTCCGCTCTCGCTTTCAACCCACTATCGATTTGATTCGGGACGACGCCATTGGTGAAGTCGTTCCAGTCACGACAAGTCTGGCTGACATCGTGTGGAATGTCATATTGATGGGTAAGCAACTCGTCTGGCTTGAACAGCATCTGTGAAAAGAAGCCGGCAGATGAGTGCCAGGCGACGTGGCAGTGAAAGGGCCAGATTCCGGGACTCTTGGATGCGTCTAGCTGCACAACGACGTAGCTGTAGGCACCGACCATTTGTACATCGCGACGCATGGGATTTTTCGTATTGAGGTTCGATAGCGCGTTTTCGGTGTAGTTACCAGGTCCGGTTGCGAGGACATACATATGCAAACCGTGCGCGTGTATCGGATGGGCCCTAAGGGGTTTCTTGTCAGAACGGTTGAGATATACGTAGATAGCTATTAAAGGCAACTTACGACTGTGCGGGATTATTAACTATAATCCGAATGGATGAATTTGTCCCGTAGTTTATCAGGTTAGACTCAGCTGTATACTCAAAGCCACCTTTGCGACGAGCCTGGAGAAGAGTTGGGTTGTTATAATCCACCCTCGCGGCGACGCCCTGTTGAAGATAATGTAAGATTGATATTCCCAGAACAATAACATGTAGAAATATACTTACACCGAATTCCCAGAGAAAGCTACCAGTCGAATTAATGTATGCGCTGACGTCCATATGTTGGGTCCATGACGGCTCGGGTAGAGCTATGGGGTAAGAAGGTACAGTAAGTGCCAAGTCGTCATTCTCGCAGGTGCCTGGATCTGGAACGTCCCATGGCGTACTGTCTGGAACAGAAATATTATCGGCGCCTTGGTAATAGATAGCAGCGAGCGCTAATGGCTGTTTCGTGCTGGAACAAGATGTCATATTCGCTCTTAACCAAAATGCGGATCCTGGGTCGGCATGAGCGTGCACAATCACATCGGTTCGCTGACCAACACCGAGAGTGATAACCTGCGTGTCATAGGGCTTGATCGGGACGAAATCATTGGCTATAACCGTCATGTTATGTCCGTCGATGGAGATGCGCTGGGTACCCTCCGCGCCAGAATTGATGAATCGAAGACGGTGAGTCTTGCCGGGTGTGAAGATAAATTTCGATAGCCCGGCATTATCTGTGCAAGGCGTCTCATCATCGGCGTCCACGGTAGAACAGTCGAAGTTCATCTTTCCATTGATTAGGTTGTTGTCTGAGGAAGTCAGTCCGTTAGAACCAGGACCCATAATCTCTTGGACGACCGCATAATAGTCTCTATGTGACCAGTCTATATGAATGTCAATAAGTAGTCCTTCAAAGCCCTGACTATTACATACCGTTAACCATGACCGGGCCAAGATCGACGTCGTAGTCCGCATTTCTTGGACCATGGACGACAATAGGGCCGAAGAGCCCACCTGCGTACTGAGCGGAATAGTGGGAATGATACCAAGATGAACCGTATAGCTCGGCTCGGAATTTGTAAGTGAAGCTTTTCCCAGGGGCAATTGGGCATTGAGAAACACCGGGAACGCCGTCCATCCACGGCGTCCCTGTTTGCAAGAAACCGTGCCAGTGAATCGCTGTCCCTTCCGGTGGTCCGTCGTTGATGGAATTTGTGACCTTCACCTCGATATAATCACCCCAATTGGCCTCAACCAGCGGTCCGGGAAATTGGTCATTAACAAGCAGCACGTCTTTCTGATATCCATCTGGCGCGATTATACCTCGACTGACGTTGAACTCGTATCTGCGCGTTATACCGGTGTGCGGTGCATCAGTATAGGGATTGCTCGACCCAACCCCCCTATCGCCCCACGGGATAACGTTGAATCCTCCATTCCCAAGCATAAATGGTGGAAGGGTTTGGGCTAGGAGCGTGCCCCAAAGAGAGTTGCTAGACGAATTAGATTAGTTACTGTTGCATTATTTACCTAATAAAAGCACTTAGATAGGCTTCTCTCTTACCCATTTTGTGCGGTTAACGAAAGCTCGCCGACTAAGCAACAGCAAAAGTTAAGAAACCCCATTACAAAAATCAAATAACGATCGGACGGCCTCAAGGAAGCCAGAGGAATAAAGAAACAATGTCAAGGTTGACCAGAGAAACTTCGTGGGGGACACCACAATCTATAAAAGAAGGAAACCATCTCATTCCAGGTCAAGTGGGCTAACCTATTATACGATATTAAATAAACAGACAGTTTGGGAAGTAATCATACGAACACTGTGAGACATGGGTATTATCCCTTTCTAATGTCTATAGAGTACTTTTCACTCTGGAAAGGGTATTGTAAGCGTCATCGGCATTGCGGCTAGCATCTATAGATTGTCTGGTGGGTTACATCTAGGACCTGTCAAATAAGATTTGCACATGGCTTGTTGACTGTCAGACCCTACCGGGGAAAAAAAGCCGTCAATGCTGAGCGACGATGTAGATATAATTGAAGGGCTGATGCGGTGCACTCTGAGCCAATCGGATGCTACCTGGTCGTTGGCCATCGTCGAAGGGCCATGATAGATTAGAGGAGTTATACGAAAACTAACTGTATCACCGATAGGCTTCGACGACGACCTCTCCTGAATTATTGACATCTACCAATAGCTGCTTCGAGATATCTCAAGCCTCGCCCCATTAAAATGTATGCAGGAGATGAAAAATGTCTTAGACAGTCGCGTTAGGTCCACTGTTTTCCTCAGATCCCGGGCTTCGTATTTGTTTTCGTGATAGGAACGTGGACAGCCGTCACGAAAATAAACAGAATGCCTTAGCTCGAGCAGCGTTCCTTTATACCTCCTCACCCGTTTAAACTGAAACATTTGCAAACATTTGCAAAGCAGCGGGAATTTGGAGGTGTGTTATGGAGTTGACACCGTGAACGAAGAACATGTCATAGTAGACAGGTAGAATGAGAAAACGGACCGATCGGCTTATACAAAAGCTTGAGAAGAAACAAGGGAGCCCGAGCCACAAGTCTCTCGTGCTTCAAAAACTGAGATTTCCTTAGCTTGGCTCATCTTAGGGGATCTAATTCTGCTATGATTTTCTCACGTATGCATGGCTTCCGTGTGGCTGATCCGGAAATTTGATTGGGGTACGCCATAACTTATGGAACATACATGGGAAAACAAAAGTCAAGGAATACTTGGGTACGAGGAGAGCGTGAATGATACCTACGAGACGTAGCTCGTAGGTACATGATTTCGAGGGATGCGGAAACCCGCGGACTCGCCAGTTTGCTGTACTGCTTATTCGACGTGTTAATTAAGCTGTAGCTATCCGAATTCGCACAAGATTTTGATATCCTAGGTAAGGCCGTGATTGGAGGGCTATGCTTTCGGCTAATGCCGTGTTAATACTTTGTAGCGTTGTTAATTATCAGAGGTGTGGCGTAGGGCTTTCTTTACTTGACATCTCTCTGAATCCCAGAGCTGTCATAATTAGTATATACAAGAGATTCGATATAGTACAACTTCCTAGCTAGCGTAGCTAGTGGAAGCTCAATATCAGATCGACCCATAGTTTCCGTCCAGTCTAACATCCTTGATGATAGAGATTCTTTAGTGGATGAATTGAGTATGTCTCAGATATCGATATAACTTTCTTCATAACTATAAAAAGCGAAGTAGTGAAGAATCGGACGTTGAATTTTTCTAAGGTCTTATTCTCGGCCTGAGCTCAGCGGCAGTACTATGAGATGGGCAAAGTTCTATTGACTTCGTGGTCGATATGTGCTTGATTGCGAAGGCATGATAAAAGGTCGTCGTTGTGCTCGCGCAAATGCTTCGACGGCGATGGGCGATGCGTCAGATCTGATAACACTTCCAATCGACATGAAAAAGCTGCGCAAAATTGTTAGTTCCGAGTTGGCATGGCTTTAACGAAGATCTTAAACTCTACATACCCAAACGTAGCGCCAGATCCTAACATATATTGGCCCAAAGTTCGCATGATACCGTTTTGTCCGGCTCCGTATCTAAATATGTTCACAGTTCCTATGCGCCATATGTCAGGGGTATAGATTCTACCGAGTCGTGGGCTCGGCGGGGTGGGGGAGATAGAGCGTACCGAAAATGAAACCGATAATAACGCCAACAGCTATGATGATTTTTTATTTGTTTTAGTAAACGCAAATCGCTTGAAAGATTTTGTACAGTTACATACTACCGCCCATCATAGCTCCCATTTTAACTATTAAATAAAATAATGTTAGTGATGCTTTAGGTAGCCTTGAACGTCTAAAGTCTTGGGGACCACGAACGTTTGTCGACGGTGGAGGGGCCTTGAGGGCCGCGGGTCGTTGGAACAGGAGGCATCTTGAGCTAATTCAAATCCCCGGGTATCTGATTAAATCTTTATGACGGTACAATGTTTTAGAAAAGGAAGTTTGAGGCTATAGAGCTTCTAAATTGGTTTTGCTGGCTGGTGGGATGCTTCTTCCGAGGCTCTTGGAAAATGATTTCGCGAATCAGCTGTTGTAATTTACAACTTGTAAAGCCGGGATCTCCAGATTCTTGGCGCGGCTGAGTCTAGTTTATCGATAAAGAAACAAGCTGAATGATACATGGATCATTGATTATGTAAAAAATGGTTTCGCGCTTTACCCCTTCTCGAAGATATCTCACGTGATAAGAGAGTATCAGACAGTCAGAGTATACCTGCATACAGTGTAGCACCTGCACCTGCTTCGCAAACTTGAATTGGTAGGACCCAACACACCTAAACCTTCAGGTACCTCACAACAACACATCGCGTCGCATGCGCCTGTAACTTCCATCCCTAGCTAGAATGGCAAATGGCAAATGTGTACAAAGGAATCCGTAGTTGGTAATACTCATATATAGTAGATTGCCAATATTAATGTAGTAATTTCGATATATTCATGCATCCGTGTATTCTCTTAAGACAAAGCTGTCCGACTCATGTGTGTATATCTACCTAGGTACCTACCTAAGGTGAATCTGGTGACTGTTGAGATGGATGTTATTTAAACTTCCTAAAGTTAAGGATGAAAAGGACAGCAAAAAGTAAAATGGGAACTTGCGGCTCTCCTCAGGCTTGCCATTTGTTGTATCAAACCCATGTTGTTGCCACATTAAAAATGTTGCTAACCTGGAAGGCATGTAAAGCGCTTAGTAAAGTAACTCTGTACCCAAACTTAGGTGGGTAGGTACATGTACCTCTCAGGTATGGTAGGTGGTATGGTAGGTGCATACCTCCGAAATACAGAACATCGAGGTAGGTAGGTAACAAGGTAACGGGATTAGCCAGCAAAAAGAGACACCCGACCTCGACAAGGGACCTGGGCAACTCCAAATCTTTGAACCAAATCTTTGAACGACCACATCCTCAAAAGTGTTGCTCCTCTTACATCGCTCAAAGAGTTGTGTACCTTAAATAATTCGACATATTTCCAATCACATATCGTCGCCTACCTAGGTAGAAACCTCTTATCAAATTCGCCTGGTATGTCTCCAAAATGTCCCAAACTTCCTTTTTTTCTTTTCTCTAACCGCGCACAAATCATATTTGATGTCTTCCCTGTCACCCCGGTGTTCCCGTAATCAACTTCAATCAGTTGCTTGTTACCCTCGTCTCGTCTGAACTTATGGAATGCCCCTTTTAACTAACCTTTTTTTTATCACTGTTTAGAGAAACGACATCAGCAAACATCTTGCCTGCAAATACCCTCTCCAACTCTCGATCGCTTCTTTCTATCAATACACCTATACACATATTTCGGCGTACTTTGCTAGTTCCGGTCGCGTGCATGATCAACAGAAGGGGCCCGCTTAACCCCCCGACTCGGCTTCTTGGTCTGCCTTCTCATCCACCCGCTCTCTTTCCATCTCGCATCCCATCTCGCTGCTCTTCCTCATGACGGCTGTCGCAAGCCCGCCAACTTTCGCTCAACACACTCGGCCGGCATGGAGTATTAACGGCGGACACGCCGGTCAGATCAATTCCATGAATCCTGACGAGCTGAACCGGATGTTACTGCCTCGAAAGAACTTACAGCGAAATAACTCTTCCTCTTCCATTTCTTCAAATTCATCCGTATCATCTACCTCAACTATTGCTACGACCGGCTCCCAAACGAATGGCAACTCTGTACCAAATTCGGGTGACATGGGCGCGTGGAATAATGGTACCGGAACACGAAAGCGACCCCAGCCGAAAGCCCCGTGGCCGACTCCGAAACCAGATGCTCAGTCGGATTTTGTAAGAATGTCTGCAGGACGCCCGCAGTTGGTTGGTGGCATTAATGGATCTGCGCCGATGCATTCGCCTTCACCAGTATTACCTTCCCAAGGCATGATTGGAGCGCAGCAAGGAATGTCCCGTCCTATGGCTGAATCCTTAACCGGCGGGAACCAGCCTGTATTATATCTCTTATCTCTCAACGGAACATTCGAGCGCAAAACGATATCTGTCCCGTTTTCTCCTGAGACCCTTAGGATTGGTCGTCAGACGAACGCAAAGACAGTTCCCACTCCAATCAATGGTTTCTTCGACTCGAAAGTCCTTTCCCGCCAACATGCAGAGATTTGGGCGGACCGCCAGGGAAAGATCTGGATCCGCGATGTCAAGTCTTCAAACGGTACATTTGTCAACGGTACACGATTGTCACAAGAGAATCGCGAGTCTGAGCCACATGAATTACAAACCAACGATCATTTAGAACTGGGTATTGATATCGTTAGCGAGGATCAGAAGACCATTGTGCATCATAAAGTGGCCGCGAAGGTTGAACATGCGGGTTTCTTAAGCCCTTCGAGTAATCTTCTCGATATGAATTTCGGCGATCTCGATCCTGCGAATGGCTCGATGATGATGATGGGTCCGCAAGGTGGTCTGCCCGCTCGGCCTAGAACGGGAAGCCAAGCTTCCATGGCGAGTAACGGACGCATTGTTGCCGGCGGTAGTATGATGGGGTCTCAAGGAAACGTCATGGGTCATCAACGAGGTCTGTTCTTTTCGCCTATTAGCACCGAGCAGATTGTAAAGCGGCTTCAGGTAAGCAAGACCCATCTCTCATACTAGATCAATATCTAACTATACCTAGCATGAGATGCGGAATCAGCGTCTCCAATCGCAAGATCTGGGTCGAACAAATCAGTTTGTCCAAGGACTTTTGACGAAAGATGATATTAAAGATATTGAGAAACCCGAAGTATCTGAGCAGCCACGGTCACAAATAATCAATGGGAATGGGATATCATTCAGATCCGATAATAAAACACGATTCTCCGATCCTCCAGCGCCACCACCACAACAGCCTTTGCCCGAGAAACCAGATGTTCCGTCTCTAAAACGAGGTATCACCGAGCGGCCTAAACAGCCTAGTCAGAACATGTCGCCGATCCGACAGGACGGAATGAGCCAGATCCTACATTTGACAGAGCTCTTGAGTAACGCGAAGCGGGAAATAGAAAACCAGAGTTCACGTATGCGAGACCTGGAGGAAACCTTGCAAAAAGAGCGACGAGCTCGAGAGCTTGCCGAGGAATTAGCCAGAAGATTAGAAGAGACCTCTAATACACAGACGAATGGTGTTCCCGTGAAGTCAGAAGCTCAGGAGACCGCATTAGAAGAAGCTTTCGAACCACCCATAGATGAAGTATCGCCTGCTGCCGATAATATTCCCAGCGACACTAACAAAACAGCTCCGCAAGCTGAAGCCATCGAAGCTTCCGCCACGCAGTTACATACTCAGATTGAGTCAATGGTATTAGAAATCAGGGATCTACGACAGCAGCTCGATGCTTTCAAGCAGCGGGCGGAGACAGCTGAAGCTGAAAGAGATGCAGACCGCAAGAGCCTAGCAGAAATGGCTTTGCAAATTCGAAGAGATGCCGAAGCTAAAGAAGCTGCTGCGCGGGAGAAAGCTCTATCGGATTCCCGTGCCATCGAGAAATTTAACAATGCAAGTGTGCCTTCTGAGGACTTGTCCACTGTGGCTGGAACCTCACCTCCAGACTCAAACCAGGGCCAGTCAGATTCCAGCGAACTCATTGACCAACCCACGCTCTCAAGGGCCAATACCATTACGCCGCATTCTACAACGTCCGGGCTTTTACCACGCGATCAGGCGTTGGCAAACAGCATACCTTACGCATCCATGATGGGAGTTGTCCTTATCGGTATGGGCTTAATGGCTTATATAAACGGGTGGCAACCGCAACCAAGGCTCGAGCGATGAGCAGCTTAGCTATTGCACAGCCAAATTAATGTTTTCTACTCGGTATCGACATACTGACTACCTACATAGGTACATATTGACATCCGTCCTTTGAACATTCACGAATTCTTTCCCTTTGTCCTCATTCTATAATAAGCTCGTCCAACTTTCGTATCTCCAGATACCAGTCTTTTTGGAACAAGGCATCAATTTGGGACCGGCGTTAGGGGAGCGGCAAGTGACTACGTTAAGGCCACCAGACTACGGGGCTTTCATCCTTTTTCTATCTAGCATCAATGATTATGCGCGCTCGGCCTCTAGGATGTGGTTCATTTGTGGCAGGATACGGAAAATTACTAAGTATGCCGGATCGAGATGGGCCGATTAGAAAATAGGGGCCGTTGAAAGACTACTTTTACGCGTCTTTATAGCTAGGCGTCCGCTATGTATTAGCTGGTCGGGTCTGGTCATAGGACTTGGTTGGTGATGTGCTACATCGCCTCGCGATCCATAAAAGATAGTTTACGTTTGCATAGCGCATGGACAACGAAACGATTTTATTCCGCAACAGCAGCATTCGTCGTGATGTGACAGCGACTTGTAACTATAGAGTTAAAATGTAATATATTTAGGCGAGGTTTTCAAGGTCAAGAAGTTTTTATCCATTAAGCACCTACTTAAAGTAACTCGAACGATCATCTAAGTCCCGAGTTTCCCCTTTCCCCTTTTCTCAGGACGACAAAGAGATGTATGATCCCAAAGTAACCCCGGCGTTACAGTGCAGCCAGTGTAGGGGTAGCCTTTCCCTTTGCTAGAGTAGCTACCTAAGTTTATGAACAAGGTTCATCGCGTCAGATCGTCTTCGTCGTTGGATTATGGGGACGACTCGAATGTAGACTTCTTCAGCACATGCTGTATGTCTACAAGGATGCCATAACGGATTAGCTAGGGTATCGTGAAAGTTAGGGTGTTTATAAGCATGCATGAGCGAGATACTGGGTACCATATCTAGGATTTGCTTTTGATTGTGCATATGGGTCCGCCACGATAACAAGACTAGATCTAAAGGATCTGATCCCCAGAAGCAAACGCCCCTCATTTAGTCAACAGACGCGTTATAGATGACACGACCTCGATATTTCATTGACCTCTTACCGACCGACTAAGATATATTTTGAAGCATTCTCTGGCAATCCCAATATATAAGTCTTCCAAATGAGGTCCTTGAGCTTTTTGGTACTACATGTTTTTGTAGTCGCTGCCTTGTCCGACAAGAAAAGACTCATTATCGACACGGACCTCTTGTCATTTGATGATGACCCCTTGGCAATTGGCTTAAGCGGTATACTTCAGAACTGGGGACAGGTCGAACTAATTGGAGTCATGTCAAGTATATATCCTCTAAATTCTAGACTTCATGCTACGTAGCGTATGTTCATTAATAGTAACCACGGATATGTAGGCGTCAACAGTCGATATGTTCCTCCAGCTATCGATGCTATTAACACTTACTTCGGATATCCCCAGATCCCGATAGCGATCCAGAAACCTGTTGATAATTTGGTATGTCATGAATTACCGAAATATAATAAGTCGGATTGTGCTTAATGCATTCTACCACAGACAAAATTGCCAGAGTACCCAGAGTTTGGAGCCTACGTTACAGGGCTGACCTATAACTTCACTGAAGATGTGCGAGATGGAACCAATACCCCTGATCCAGGTGCGGCAGTAATTTCATCCACCTAGAGTTACTATACGTTAGGGGACTACGTCTAATATAAAGCTTCACTCGAACAGTTTCATCATACCGCTATCTGCTCTCTACGTCAGCGGACGATTCAATTACTCTCGCCGTAATCGGGTTCTTCGACAATGTGTTCAACCTCCTTAACTCCGGCCCCGACCAAATATCCCCATATACAGGGGCTGAACTACTCGCTTCTAAAGTGCGCGAACTCGTCGTGCAAGCCAACGACGTGGGATATTCTTATAACACGAACGCGCATAACGAAACCCTCGCCCAAAAAGTGCTAAACTGGTGGCCGGGCAAATTGACATTTGCGTGGGATGGTGTTGGCGAAAACACCATCCTCGGCCGTCGAATTACCACTGAGCTGGACCCCACCAAGAATCCGCTCGGATACGCTCTGCGTACCAACATCGGGTACGACCAGAAGCACCCGGTCTGGGACGCTGTAGCTGTGTACTATGCCGTGTGTGGGCTAGACGACGTGTTCAGATGGAAGTACCCGCACGGCGGCCGCGTGAACGTAAACGCGTCCGCTTTTGCTACCTGGGAGAACGGTACGGTTTCAAGCCCCGGGTTACAGAACTCGATCGAGTTCAAAATGCCTAATACGACATTTGCGGCGAGGTTGGAAGATATGCTGCTATGGGAACCGGGACAGCGTGTGCCGTACTGGAGGACTTGGTGTAGAAGTTAGACTGATATAAGGGGTATCTGAGTGGTTATCACTGGAAGCACTGCTGTAACGTAATGCGCTTCGAGTTATTTTACTCCCTTAATATAATCCAGTTGCTTAATTTAAAGAACCCCTGATGACCCTAACTAGATAATCATCGCAATGCATAGGTAGAATTATAAGTTTTCGAACGACATACCTGTTCAGCAGGTATCTACTCGGATGGAACAAATCGTCTCTGAAAGAATGCGGAAGACTAAAAGGTAACTTGTTATGACGGGCCAGTATAGAGGATAATCTATATGAGCATTCGTAAAATATTAAAATTTGGCTGTGGGTGTGGAATTCCAATTGCTATGCCAATTCGTTAACAGGCCAAGAATTTCCTATCCGTCGTTTCTAGGGCTGACCAGAAAGACAACCAATACCGCTTGAAATGGATGCCGGAAGAACGAGGCTGTCTAAAAGACATAACCTCCTCTTATGACCTAGCTGTCCTTCGTTTTCTAGCAATATTACTACTCAAAGTATGTAATAGTGCGATACTGCCGCGAGATTATTATGAAGTTGGCCAGCTGTCTGTAACGGGCGAGGTACGAGGGGCACAATACGCGCTGCCAGAAGGACCGTACAATACCAAATTCATCATGCAAGCATATCCGACACTGAGGCAATTGAACCAATGCAAAGTCTAGGCCACAGGGGACTAAAATGTTGTTGGTTTAACGAGAAGCACGGCTTAAATCAGCCAGCTCTTAATTCGTTTGATGAACGCCGAGTCGCGTATTAGCGACTAATATTAGCGGTGAAGGGGAACCAACAGCATATATTTACGTCATATGGGGCTTGACAGGGGCTTTCCGGATTACCGGGTCATCAGCAAGACTTCGAAAACCACGGTAACCTATTCAACGGTTGATTTCAATTTTCCGTTGTTAAAACCACAGACGTAAGTGGCACCTAACGTTGTGAATGTCTCCAAATCCCGATCATACGAGAAAGAGTCCGTCTAAAGGATTTTCTGCGCCTTTGCTCAACCAAGACACGTATCCCGCGGGCATACACTCTGACACTACTACATAAATGTAGTTAGTTATAACTTATAAGGGTTGTAGTAGAAATTTCACCGCCAGACATGGATCCAAAATAACCCCACCCAACTAAGCGAAGTACAAAATACCGTTCTAGCAAGTCTCTACTTAATTTGTATGAGTATTAGATAACGTCGTATTCTATAACACATACACGCCTTAGTGTATGCTTGACGGGTCAAATAGGTTATTGTAAATTCGACAATTCGGTAATAGAATCCATTCTCGGCCTTTGGATCCATCAGCGAAGCGGAGGACTGATTTTGACCCCCTTGTTGGACGATTAATATGTAAGATAAAATGTCCATCGATCGTCGGTCACATACTTTGACAGATTTTCTCGAAAGACTACATCGGTGATCCCCCGAGACGACTTGGATTTCGCTTCAATACCCCACCGACAAGATGGCGATGAGTCTTTCCTCGCTTTACCTATCCTTCTTCGCTGCTTTCGACGTAGTCCTAGCAACTAGCCTCAACGTAACGGCCATTGGTGCCAAGGATGGTAATTCCCGTTTTGAATGCTGGGAGCTTGCCTCGCCATTCGTCTCATCCAGCCAAACGGGCATCGCCGGATCACAGACGACGTTTTTAGGAGATGTTAGTAACATCACGTATAACGTGATCCCGGCGGGTTTCGACAGCGGAGTCCACAATACACCTAGAAACCAGTAAGTGCTTTATGCTTGTGTATTCAAAAATATTACCTAGTCCTAGGTAAAGCTTGATGAGTAAAGTTCTCACATGAAGCAGATGGATTGTTGTCCTCAATGGACTAGCGGTTATAACACTACCGGATAATAGCTCTGTCACCGTCACGACGCTACCGGGAGAGATGGGTCTGCTGTTTGCCACGGACACTCCGGAGGTCAGCCGCGAGGGCCATGGCAACTATTTCCCGGGTGTCTCGGAGACCATCTTTCTGCAGATCCCAACGAAGGACGGCGTGATACCGGAGCATAAGGTACTAAACGAGGATGGCCCTTGTACTCCGAACAAGTACGCGGCGCTCCGAGGGTGGGCGACTGGTTAGCATTTTGCTTGTGGTAGACGGATTATATGGTAGGATAAGTTAATTATGAGGGCGAATTGGATCTTCTAAATTCCATTAAGAATTAATCATGAAGGTCTTAGTAATGATCATAGGCAAGAGGGGCACGTTGATACCCAAGCTATCTACGGCATTGACCGAAAAGGACATTGGTCTAAGCCAACATTTTAATTGAATTATCACGCAGGACTCAGTTCACAAGAACCGAATTTAAAAAGGAACATGTTCACTTCAAGTTAGTTTAAGAGGTACCCAGTATAAACAGTAAACGAACGCATACCCAATACTCCCCTGTCAGACTCGCTCTACGAGTCTACATTATGAAAATAGCAGTGTAGCACGGCCTCGTTTCCACGCTCATTATTACTCCCTAAACCTAACAGAACTCGGAAGTGCGCCCGGCACGGCCTTGACCTGTAGTATCACATCCCGTATTCGTGTCTGGGCATGGTACTGGAAAGCAGGATGTGTAGCCAACGTGATAGCGAGTAAGAGAGCCAGTACTATGATGACAAAATGTTCAAGTAGGAATCCGCTGCGCGCGCCTAGATTTACGCCGTTCTTGGGAGCGAGGGGCCCGACCATCTTTTTGACAGGTTCGATAGCGTAAAAGCGCGCGGCTTTCAGACCCCGCGGCATACCTGGGAGTCCATCCATACTCCAGGCGTTTTTGAGGGCCCAGTAGCGGTCCATACTCTCTTTCTCGTTGCCTTCGAGGACCTTGGCTTCCTTTCGCTTGAAGAAGTCGTTGAGGGTAGTCCGGAATTCCTTGAAGTCGAAGATTGGAACCGAGTAGCCGCATGAGGTGCCGACTTGGTGGATATCTACCACGATGACTGACCGTGTGCCTGGTATGACTTCGATGTTTTCCTTTTGCACGATACTGTCAAACTCTGGTGTTCCGTTTTCCAGTACGCGGCCTTTGCCCCAAAACCTGACAATACGGGGCGGTCCTTCGAAGGCATTGAATAGTATAGTTACACGGCCGTTACCAGGCTCCAGAAGATGCGATATAGTCTTGTATAAGGTCAGTTAATTTCATCATATCTGATTGAAGAAATCATAGCAGACCTCATTCCCACTTCCTGTCAAATCCAAGAACCAAAAGGTTTTAGTGTCGGGAATACCAAAATACTGGCCCCCTTTTGGTGAAAGATTAACGTGCCCTTTCCCCGATAGTGGTGCTGTAGCTATCCAGAAAACCTTCTGGGCCAACATCCAATCGATGAGGCTTTGTTTTGGGATTTCTTCGAAATATGCGCCCATAATGAATAGCGATGACGACTTGGCTCCCTGCTACGGCGTAGATAGGATCTATCAATGGAAGAGCTGTTAAATTGTCAATCAGGTTTCAATGAAAGGGTGGGACAAGGTCTATAAAACGATTTTACTTCTAAATAGTAACGATTACTATATCTTAGGTTATTGGAGAATCAGATCTATGATCCAAGGTTAAATATATTAAATTAAATTAAATTAAAAAAGGGCAGCCTTTGAGCTGCCCGATAGAGTCATCATCGGTTCACGGAAGCCGACAATTGCCGGTGCGGAGGTGATCCACCAACGCCCGAGCTCCCGTCTTGCCGTTTTACAGAATTACCCCTTACAGTGACATCTTCGGGTTTATAGATCGTAGGTGAATTAGCCGATATCGGCCTTGTTTTACATCAGAGCCTATATCTCCATATACGTTAAGAAGCCTATCTCAGAACTCTTAAACCCAGTTCTGTAGTTGACCAGGCAGAGCCAGCATACTGGAAATAGGAGATATCCTGGATAATTAAATTGCAAGAAGGGAGTATATTACCTGGTTTGATTTATGAACTAAGCTTATTATAAGCGAAGAAGATGCCTGAATTATATATCTCCTAACGAGCTTCACAATAGTCCCTTGGCTACATATTAGCATTAAGGTAACCAAATTTTAGGGAAGAGCGTCGTTATGTGAGCAACCTCTCTGCGAAAGACGTAACCCCTTTATTATGCTTCTTTCAAGCCCGGTTAATCTAAACCCTTAACGTATCCGGGGTAGCGCATTCTACATGCCTTTTTTAATCCGTTAGCTGGCGGCGCAAACTTGTTCACTATGAATGGGCTCGAATGGAAACGTTCTCGCTCACTTTTTAATTCGGGCTTTAGTGCTGGCTACATCTTACAACAGACGTCTCACGTTGTTGATGAGGCTGAAGTCTACGTCGATATTTTTAGAGAACATGCTCGAAAAGGTAAAATGTTCTCTTTAGACGGTGTGACTTGCTGGTATATGATGGATGTTATTGGCGCCGTAGCCTTGGACTCACAACTCCATTCTCAACAGCAGTTCAATCCCCTAGCGTCGGCATTGCGCCGGCAGACTCGTTGGCATGTCCTTGACAACGAGTGGAATCTTCTAATCCTCTACAATCTACTATTGCTTCTACCTCCTGCAATCTCACCCCGAAGCCATGACCAAGCTCCGCGCCGAGCATGACGCCGTATTCGGGGCCGACATTACCGAAACGGCCAACACAATGCGCGAACAGCCCCATCTCCTCAATCGACTCCCCTACACCACGGCAGTCATCAAAGAATCTTTACGCCTCTTCCCTCCAGCATCCGCGATGCGTGGCGGCCAACCTGGCGTGTATCTCCAGGACGACAAGGGCAACAGATATCCGACCGAGGGAACAAACATGTAGATTCTACATTCAGCCGTAGAGCGCAACCCGAAGTACTGGCCTTCGGCAATGGAATTCATACCCGAGCGCTGGCTCGTGGAGCCGGGAGACCCACTGTACCCCGTTAAGGGGGGTTGGCGACCCTTCGAGCATGGGCCGCTAAATTGCTTGGGTCAGACTCTGGCTATGCTCTGTGAAAATCACGCTGGCGCTTACTGTGCGTGAGTTTAACATTAGACATGTGTATGACGAATGGGATCGCTTACACCCTACGAGCAAGGTTAAGAGGGTTAATAGCGAGCGCGCTTATCAGACGCAGTCCGGAGGGGCGCATCCTGCTGATGGTTATCCGTGTCGGATCAGCTTTAGGAAGTAGTGGCTTTGGATAAAAAGAACAGTGTTTAAATTTTTTTGTTATTATTAAAAATCTTAGAAATTTATGTACTGATCAATTGAACGCTGAAATACCGCTTGTATTTCAGGTCGACTCGTGCCAGAATCATAATCTAGGCAGGATAGGGGTCGTGGAAGGTACCTACGTAATAATGCGAATTCCCTTTAGTTAGTCCTCACGTAACTATCAATATAGAAATCTTTACTCGAAGCTTTTGATATCATCTGACTACTTTATGTACCTAATTCATAAGGTATGAAGCTTATATATCATGAGTCTTTCGGCCCTCGAAACCATATACGTCCGATCAACCCCACGAGAAGACTCACTACCTACTACTACAGCTTCGACACTCCAGACCACGAATCATCCATAATATTCCATTAACTGTCCACCTCATTTCCGAGTCATCTTTACCCTTACCAACTATTAGGTTAACCCCGTTCCGGTATGTTAACGACGACCCGCGAAACCTCCCAAACCTCAATGACGAGGAGTTCGACAACCTGACGGCCGTACTAAGGACGTATTAAGTATACGAAATGCGAAGCGTGGTATCCAGCCCGTTCCCTAATAACCAATCTCTTTGCAATAGTCGACTTCCGGCACGAATTCACGCCCAATGTATTCTTTGCCTTCTGCCATGTCTTGAATCTCTGCTGTACTAGGAAGCACGCCCGGATATTGGGCATTGGTTCGATCACGGTCCCACCACAAGATACCCGAAAGAAGGGATAGATAAGCTTCAGGGTTGTGCTGCTCTGAGATTATCGTGAAGTACCAGTTATCGCATGCTCCGTTTTCTTCCTGAGGAAATCTCGCTAAGAGGTGGTCCATGTTGAGAGATCGGACCCTGAGGCTTCCGCCAGCAGGTCGCAACCACGTGAAACCAGACATGGCGTGTGAGAAATAGCTAATGTGACGGAGCGGGGACCAGTCGATTCTTTTATCAGCGGCGATGCGAGATATAAACTCGAGGTCGAAAGATCCATCAGCTAAGCCCTCCACGCCTTGTAATCCCATAAGAATATACCAATGGCCGGTAACCATGGTTCCCCTTTCAATAAGTTCAATAGGTCCTATATATTTCATTAACAACATAACAGCTCAATATAGCCATCTTGGACTTACCTTGGGTGACAATACCATCAATAACTTGGGTGACAACACCATCAATAAACTTGTCTAGGAACTTGGTAATACTTTCAGCGATTCGATTCTCCCATGGTGTGAAATAGTGCCAGAGCATTTCCCAAGGCCGTTCATCGTCCATTTCATGCTCCGAGTCTTCACTGTCCGAATCACTCCCCGAGCTGATTTTGTAAGGGAGAAGTTCTCGAGATATCTCCATACAATAAAATGTAAGCTGTACTCTCGAAATCTCCGTGCTTGTAGGTTTTGGAATTGGGCGGCCCCGAGGATTCAGAAACATTTCTGACAATGATTCCTCCATGAATTGCAGAGCAAATTTCTCGACGGTGGAGTGGAAAGAAATCAACTCCTCAGCTAAGGACAAAGAGAAGTCTTGCCGGTCAAGTGATGGCCTATTATTCCGGTCGAGATATTTGCGGCCAAACCTGTGTATTCGATCTACAAGTTGACTAGGAGAATATACGTGCAATTCTGTTACCCATTCGGCACGTCTTGCTGCGTATAAGGCTATAGCCGATGGGAGGAAGTCACCTAGAGCATTTGTAGTGATTTCGCGAATAATAATGCCCCCGTCGCTCTTGTAGATATTGTAAAAGTGTCTGCAAGTGGTGAAAAGTGCGTAAAGGGAGGATATATCGAGGTTTAGCATGATGTTTTGCTTCACCTCAAGGGGTAGGAGTTGGAGGAGGCTTTCGGCCTTGGTTTTGGTTTGAGAAGCCATTTTCTGTTCGGAATATAATGATATAAATGGACAGAATCGATTAAGGGAGTGCGAAATACGCAAAGGAGAAAAACAAATGCTGATGGAAGATAAAACTCCTTAAAGATGAATTCCAGCGTGGGAAAAAAAAAAGAAAGAATTTTGAAAGTAAGAGTGTCGAACGTAGGCGGCAGTAAGATAACCAGGCTGAGTAGAACAGAATAGATGTCCATCTTATGAGGTTAAATTACCTCACCTAAGGAGTTACCACCCCCTTAATATGCTAGTAGTCCTGGTTTAGGTCATAATTCTCGTTGTTTTTCAATATATATAGGTAGGTACCTAGGTATATATGTAGACTGGTCAATTGGTTGAAAGGTGCGTTGATCATTCGTAAGTCTGGTGTCCTTGATGGCCCTACTTACCTATATAGCACACATCACGCACGGCCCTAATCAGGTAGGTGACGTGGATTGCTCGTGAGTCACCTTCTAACTATATTATATATTTCCCCCCTCCGTGCATGCTCGCAATGACGTGTATAACCCTACTTGTTATCAACCAAACATGTCACGAAGTGGAACTAAACAGTATGGAAAGAACTTTGTTGTTCCTCAAAGAACTCTAAGCTAACTAGGTAGCAAGCCTGCGGCTTGTATACATACCAACATGTCTTTTGATCTAGAGGTCTCATCTATAATCCTAATAAAACGGCCATGTCTATCTATTCAATGAGCCATCCAGATGACATACTCGACAAACTTTTAATGACAACCATCGTTATCCTTAGTTTCCTACCATTGACAACATTGACAACATATTTGCCAACCATAATCCTAGTAGTATGTCTAATAAATCCTCTACCCTAGCCTTGGTGAGTGTATCTTGCTAATTCATATTAGGTACCGTATTTTGTTATTATTCCTAAGCAGAAAACGTACATCGCTAACAATCTAACTTCAGTAGGTACGTTTCCCGTCCTATTTTAAAGTGCCTGAGTTGAAGATCTCATTCCATCAAACTTCCTCACTACCTACATATATAACCTAGGTACTTGAAGGACTGTTGGGATATTACTAATGTAATAGCCACTGACTACTCTGACAAGAGGCTATCCACAGGGCCCACGAGCCCTAGCGGCCACACACACACACATACTATTTAACCTGGTGTGGCCACGTAAACTCTCTCTCTCTTACATAGACAACTAGACTGAATATAAACCATCGTGGGAATCCCCTCACTCGTTACCGACCCTCTACATGCAGACCTTGTCTTCCAACAGGACAATCTCGACTCAGATAATCTAACTACGCTACCGGAGAACCGGTTTATTTATTTTTCAGGTTTTAAATTAGTCTTTCTAGAGCACTAAATAATGGACCAACTCACTTCACTAACCCAGGCTAGGTATAAGTTAAGTTAGGTACCTACCTAAGGCAACTTATGTAGATGAGAATGACCACGCGTGTAACGCGTCAACCAACTTTATCAGTTAAGTACCTAATGCGTGTTTTTTCATGAAGAGCTGTATATACCTACCTATTTCCAAATGGTAACATCGAGAGAAACGTAGGATTGGCAAGGAGTACGACTCTAGAGGACGTGAAAAATGCATAATGCCGTCCCGACTCCACTCATGCTCCGGAATCTACCCTTGTAATGCTACCGAAACCCGACGTGTTACTGTATTAAAGACTTACCCACTTCGCGCCACGAACACGATCGAGTTACCTCGGCCGGCCGGTCTGAGACATTCGTCTCTCTTCTTAAGCCACGCAGTCATCTGTAGTATCACCGTGCTACCTATCTTACAGTCGAATTATAAACGAATATGAAGAGAGCTATTAGATGAAATACCAGCCAAAAGTTTACTCTTAGCACTGTGATCAATGTTTTGACGATATCTTGGTCTCAAACTCCATGTTTACCCAGTATCTAAAAGCGCTATCATCTACTTCTAATATCTAAAAATGGCTTGTAAGTAGAGACCCAGACTATCTCAATGATCCATATGTATAATTAGTATTGATCAATTCCAGTCCCCATAGCCGCGGCCGCTGCAGGCAGCGTTGCCCTCGCGGCCTACATGGACGCTCGCTTTCATATAATGAACGATTTGGCCCAGGGAAGCAATAAGCTACGCACCGCTTTGCTGTTAAGGCTCGTCGCCCAGGAAGCCCGAAAGGGAAAGTTGCTCCTCTACCATACCTTTGAGGATCGCGCCAACACCCCCATGGGTGATCTTACCTTTCTCATATTTGAGGATCGTGAGTGGACCTTTCGTCAATTCTATCAGGCCCTACAACCGGTTGGCAATTGGTTGCTCAAGGATCTGGGTATTAAAAAGGGCGAGATGGTGGCGCTAAATGGCGTTAACAGCCCCGAGTATATTCTGCTCTGGCTCGCCCTTGAGGGAATTGGTGCCACAGTGGCCTTCATAAATTACAATTTGACAGCCGAATCTCTTGTTCATTGCGTCAAGCTTAGTGGTGCTCGGTACATGCTTGCGGACTCAGACGTCCGCCACCTTATTTCTCCCGTCGAAGAAGAACTTACCTCAGCCGGCATCCAGACAGTTTACTACAGCCCTTCATCTATAAGCGCTCTCACAGACACAGAGCCGCTTCCCGCCTCGCGCCGCGAAGATATAAAGCCCACGGATATAGCATCTCTTATCTACACATCCGGCACTACAGGCAAACCCAAAGGCACAGTCGTAACTCGGGCGCGCTACGTGCTCCTAAAGCAAGCCGGAGGCAGACTGGGCCTCAAGCCCGGCGTTAGACTATACACCTGTCTCCCGCTTTACCATGCCTCCGCTCAGGGCCTTGCCTGCACCTCATGTATTCACACAGGAGGCACGCTAGTCCTATCGCGCAAGTTTTCCCACAACACGTTCTGGCCCGAGGTCCGCTCGTCGAAAGCCTCGATTATCCAATACGTAGGCGAATTATGTAGGTATCTGCTAAACGCGCCGCCCAACCCTCTCGACACCAATAATAACGTCCGGGTGGCATGGGGCAACGGTCTGCGGCCAGATATATGGGAGACGTTCCGGGAGCGCTTCGGCATTGAAGTCATTCAGGAGTTTTACGCCTCGACGGACGGGGTCGGAATGCTTAGTAACTCGAGCCGGAACGACTACTCACGGGGCGCGATAGCTATAAGAGGTCCGCTATGGCATTTGATTAACGGCGGCAGCGAAGCGCGTGTGCGCATCGATCCGGACACGCAGGACATCGTGCGAGACGCAGAAGGCTTCGCAATCCGGTGCAAGACCAATGAGCCGGGAGAGACCATCTATCGCATCGATCCGGTGAAGACTGCAACGCCGGTGTATCATGGGAACCCGCAAGCCGGTCAGAAGCGGTTAGTCACGGACGTGTTCAGCAAAGGAGACCTGTGGTTCCGAACGGGCGACGCGATGCGCATGGACGCGGAGGGCCGGCTATTTTTCGTGGACCGCCTTGGCGACACGTTCCGCTGGCACTCGGAGAACGTGTCGACAGCCGAAGTCGGCGACGTCGTAGGTGCATTCCCGCAAATTGCCGAGGCGAGCGTGTACGGCGTCCTAGTTCCCAATGCGGACGGGCGAGCTGGGTGCGCGGCTGTCGTTGCGACGGAGGGGACGTCTATTAAGGCTGAGGATATAGCCAGTGGGAAGGGCTTGGATCTAAAGGGGCTGGCAGAGCACTGTCTTGCAAATCTCCCGCGGTATGCGGTGCCGATATTTCTAAGAGTCGTCAAGCAGCTCGAGTACACGGGCACGATGAAGGTCCAGAAGGGACGTCTGAGGTCTGAAGGGATCGATCCGGAGGCCATTGAGAAGGCAGCGAAGGAGAATGGGGAAGAAGCCGATGCAATTTATTGGCTGCCTCCTGGTGAGAAGGCATATGTTCCGTTCAGGGGTAAGGACTTACAGGAGCTTAAGGGTGGTAAGGTCCAACTTTGATCGTATAATTATTGTGTTTATATTACACTATGATCAAGATTCTTGTAGAATAAGATAGATTTGCCGTTATTAGGTATTAGGGCAATATCATAACGTACCTAAGGTAGGTAATTAGTGGTGTTAGAGATGAAGTCCTTAATAGAACGGAACGTTCGGTGGTAAGGCAAATACTCCATTCGTTTTATTAGCTACTTTAGGTACGTAAGGTATAAGGTATAAAAGGATTGTGCAGATGTTCAAGTGACGAGGAACATAAACACCATAACAGCTCTACCTCAGGGCCGAAAAACAAATTATAGCGCCCAATAAACCTTGACTTGGACCTTTTTAATGCTATTCACCCACCCGGGAAATCTCGCATGACCCCAGACAGTGACCATATCCCCAAATTTCAGGTTCCTAACGAACTCACCGTTACCTGTGCCCGATCCCCGGCCAATTTCATTTAAGCTTTCCGCCTCCAAGGATTCCGGGTCGATGTTGTCATCTAAGGTCCACTCGACGTGGTGGTGTTGTAATTCGCCCACGGCGTGTTTGTTGCGCTGTATCTCATGGTACTTATCAGCAAGTAAATCACGATTGTACCGCGGACCACCAGCGCTGCCTTGGTCATGCACCACTGAGGGCCAAATTGGGCGTATCGCGCATGTTGGGATATCTAAGTCATTGGAATTATCGTCGTTGTTTTTCCGATCTGGACAGTCCGGTAGGCCTATTATATGGTTAATTAAGTACCTAAAGGAACGCAGGTTGCCTCTCCAATACGGGTTAGAATTTCTCTCACATTCGTTGTTCTTATCGAAACGTTCTAACCCCGCCTCAAACCACGTAAAGGAACTGCGATAAGTGCCATGATCACCATGTTGGCTACTCCAACCCTGGTCGCAACTCTCAATGTCGAAAACAACTTTTCGAAATGGGTGTTCTAACGTGGGCAGAGGATCATCAGCAAGTTTTTGCAGATCAGACTGAGAGTATTCCTTCTCGAGCTGCTTAGGAGTAGCTTCTACTCTCCACAGATCTTGGCTAGAAGGCGACCATTTAGTGAGCCCAAGCGGCTTGGTGCGAAGCTATAATCACACGTCAGCCTAGAACAAGATAAAGTTAAGATTGTTATGAAGCCTTGCTAACCAGAAATTGGTTTTCTCCTTCACGTGCACCATGAATGGAGATCCGACCCGACTCGGAATCGTCATGATCGATGATAGTAGAAGAACAAACCCAATACTCGGCATCGTCTAAGATTATATCGACAAGTTCAAGAGGTAGATTCCTAGCCTTTACCAAAATATCTTTCACTTCGGTTATGTCTTCTGGCGTAACCTCATAGGTGGTTGTGAATATTCGTGGTTTTACAGGCGGAGGCTGGTGCCGATTCAAGTTTGGTATCAGAGGCCGTCTCCTTCCCCTGAGGTTGGGCGGGTTTGGGTTTGGAGTATCCATAGTTCTATTACGAAGACTGAGGAGCTGGGAGCTAAATACTATTGAAATTAAGAAAAATAAAATAACGTCAACAAGGTCGAACATGTTGATCAAAGAAAGAAGGGCAGGTTAATAATAAAGTTACCATAAAGCGGTTTAGTGCCTGCCCAGCTGCTCTGCCGCAGCCTATAATAAGTGGAGATGGTAGAAGTTACAGCTATAAGAAAACTGGAACCGCTCCTCTAAATATACTACGTCAAGTATGCACGCATCATGTTCTCGGTGAACTGGCTGACTGGATATATTTATCAGTACCTAAGGAAATGGGATAATTGTTGTACAACCCATTTTATTATTAATTATTACATGTACGGCGTAATACATTACCTGTTATGCATGATAGATACATCCAAACCGGTTGCTTCCATTCGTTGCTAATACCTCCCGGTAACACAAGCTTCTTATGTGAGGCAAATCAATCTCACGATACTATAGATGCTACCAAGAGGCGTGGGCATTACGTATGTCATTCGTGACATCATAAGTTTTCTTTATCGATATCGATTATACTACCTAGCGCTTACATATACATACCTAGGTACAAGGTAGCTTAACATTCGGGGAAAGCGGGGGATGTCGTGTTCTAGAAGTCCAAGTAATAAAAGCAAAAAACCACGTGAGATAACACTTATCACTTACTCAATTTACACAAGCTAAGCTCTAACGGTTAATCTCTTGAAACTTGGATCATGGATCTAAGAACGATACCTATCGAAGCAGCTGTCCATTCCTGGACTTCTATACCTCTTTCTTATTCAATAAGTCATCATGAGAATCCGAGGTAATAACGCAGCAGACCTGCGACGCGTCTCTACCATCCTACAACCCATCATCAACGCGCGACCTCCCACCTTCTTACTCCGAAATCGGCCTTCGCCATTAACATCCTTCAAAACTCCCTCTTTACAGTATGGCACGCGATTGCTACATTCCCAGCCTCCCAGGCGTGCTAGCACAAGCCAGGGCGAAGCCTCCAACCCTCCTATGGCATTTCCTTGCCTCGATGCGATAGAGACACGATCGGCAACGCTGGAGGCGAAATCTCTCTCGACGGGGCCGGAGCCCGCATATACCACCGGAGCAACCGAGATATTTCATTGTGAAGATCCTCTCTCATTAGACTGGGGAGGAAGACTACCAAAATTCGATATCGCATACGAAACATGGGGGAAGCTAAACTCAGACAAGTCCAATGTGATATTATTGCATACGGGTCTATCCGCTTCGTCGCATGCCCACTCGACCGAGAGCAACCTTCAACCTGGATGGTGGGAGAAGTTTATCGGCCCAGGGGCCTGTCTCGACACGGATAAGTATTTCGTGATATGTACAAATGTCATTGGAGGCTGCTTCGGATCTACTGGGCCAAGCAGCATTGATCCTGCCGATGGTCAGAGATATGCCACTCGGTTTCCAATACTTACAATGGAGGATATGGTGAGGGCACAGTTCCGACTTTTAGATCATCTAGGTGTTGAGAAACTATACGCAAGCGTCGGATCTAGTATGGGAGGAATGCAGTCTCTGGCAGCTGGCGTATTATTTCCTTCAAGGGTGAGCCGCATAGTATCTATCAGCGGCTGCGCACGAAGCCATCCCTACAGTGTTGCAATGCGCCATACGCAGCGGCAAGTGCTCATGATGGACCCCAACTGGAATCGCGGGTTTTACTATGGCAAAGTCCCGCCGCACGCCGGAATGAAGTTAGCCAGAGAGATCGCCACAGTGACATATCGGTCCGGACCCGAGTGGGAGCAACGGTTTGGTCGTAGGAGAGCTGACCCGACAAAGCCGCCTGCGTTATGTCCGGATTTCTTAATTGAGACATATTTAGACCATGCGGGTGAGAAGTTCTGTCTGACATATGACCCAAACAGCCTCCTATATGTCAGCAAGGCCATGGACCTGTTTGACTTGGGACTTGAAAGTCAACAAGCAGCCATCCAACGACGGGCCGAGCGAGAGAGGCTCATTCAATCCGGATCATCCACCGAAACAAATGACCGGTATTGTAGCCTCACATTACCTGACTCGCCGTATTCCGAGCAACCTGGAACGTACGTGGATGATTCCAGCTCACCCATTCCAGGGGATTCCCGTCCCCCTCAAGATCTGATTGAAGGCTTATCGCCGCTGAGGGATACCCCGACTCTGGTGATGGGCGTAGCAAGCGACATCTTGTTTCCTGCTTGGCAGCAACGAGAAGTTGCCAATGCTATCCGCCTCACCGGCAATAGAAACGTAACGCACGTAGAGCTAAGCGAAGAACAGAGTCTGTTTGGCCACGATACATTCTTGCTGGATCTAAAAAATGTTGGGGGTAATATCAAAAACTTCTTAGGGTAGAACTAGAAGCAAGGTATTTACTAATATATAGATCTACTTGTACTTGTCGCAGACTTATGTCACGCTCGGGCTGAGGGTTTGCATACGATGGCGCAGAGGTTTTCAAGGAGTCAAAGCATCAATGGCTAAGGGTGCCAGTGTGTTACACCATGACCGCCCAATCGTATATATACCCAGGGTACGTATAATAGATGTGTGATACTTGTATTATCACAAATCTTGAACTTAGGTACTTAGGAGTGTGATAAAAGTGATAGCTACCTACCTATCTACCTAGCCAATCCGCAATACTTACAAGAAGAAGCAAGTCGGTAGACTAACAGATCTCGCCAATGAATGATAAGATCCAAAGGACGCAGTGCAACCAACTTCTATCCGTACTATATCAGTATTATATATAATTACGAGCAATCATATTAATGCATAGGTTAGGTTTCTTGCCTTGTATAGATTGTTAACGCATTGCCAGATGGTCACTCGGGGCCGTGAAAAGCACATACCTTAGGTACCTATATTAACTTATAAGCAGATATAGCTAGTCTGACCTCTATACGTACATAACGCACAGTCTCCCCCGAGTTATAAACAGCCTCTTCTCAAGTTTCTTTTGCCGATTCCATATTCTTCTCGTTCCTCTTTATCATATGAGAATATATTTTTAATCCAAGCCTTAATATTGAGGCGATGCCTTAAGGTTCTACGCCAACTTCTATATCGGCCTCACTAACATCCTAACATCGGACTTTCCAATAACAAAAATCACACGACCTCTTAAGTATCTAGGTAACTTGCTCAGTCTGGTGATCCCTTTCTGCATCTATAGCGCCATAATTAACACAGTAGGAAGGTGTAGCGGATTATACCTTTCAGAAGTAATTTTACCAGGCGCTTAATCATTTCACAACCTCCCGAAGTCTTCCACTTATTCTATATTCAATTTACGGCCGTGTTGTATCATTTCAGCTTGATTCCTCTTCTATTTCTGTGGTATTGATCACATTTCCCCCTAGGCAATCAAAATGGCCACAGTTGATGTATTTGCTGTCGGCAGTAGCAGAGCTGCGCAGCTTCAACACATAAATCGCTATAATAGATTCACCATCGCCACCCTTGGAGTCAAGAGCCGAAAGCTTAAACGAGTTGTAACATGTGAGGATGGTTCAGAGTGTAAAGAGCTCCTTAAAAAGGGAAGAGCCTATCTACAATGGCTAGATACTATCGAGATGACTCCTGAGATTAAGGAAAAGACCACAACAGCCAGAATGCTCCAACTGATTATAAACAACCCTGAACTATTCTACCCAGAAGACATGAAGAATAGTGCTAGGGCTTTGTATGAAAAGTGGGAGTCTGAGAACTGGGGTGCGGATGAGGTAGCCTCGGAGGACGCAGCCGAAGAAGAGGTGATTCCTGAAGATGGAGAGGAAGTTCCTATCATTCAGAGTCAGCTACCACCACCGAACCATCCCATTTATGGGGAACATGGTATCATGTACGGCATTGTGGTCGCTCGAGGCCCCAAAGGTAGAATATCCTACCAGCTGAACCCACGTGTGCCTAAGAGATCAGCCAAGGTGTTTGGGCATAACAATATTCCCGTCGGAGCTTGGTTTGCTAACCAGTTGGTTGCGCTTCATCGCGGTGCCCACGGTGCGCGAATGGGAGGAATTGCCGGGTGGGTGACATTGCAAATTTATTACCCCCCTATTCTTGTGTTCTCCTAGGAACCGAGGTCTCTTGGTTATTCCGACTAGTTGGATGTTCCCACAACTTCCTCGATAACCATCTAAAGAAGCAATCGTTAACAATCATTAAAGTTCTACTACAGCAGGTACTTATTCTATCGTGGTTTCTAACGTATACGACGACCTCGACAACGACCAAGGTGACGTACTCTACTACTCCGGCTCAAACAGCCACAAAAACGAAGACCCTTCTCAGTCAGTACCGTCAAGCGCGGGAACGAAGGCTCTAAAGGCTTCGCTACAGACAAGACGCCCCGTGCGCGTCTTACGTTCCGGCGGGTCCCATTCCTCCAACAGCAATCGCTGGCTCCCTGAATGCGGTATCCGATACGATGGGCTGTACCAAGTTACCAGTTGGCGAGAGCGTAAGAATAAAAAAGGTAAGACAGCACGGTGGAATGAGGATGCAGCTAACTTTCGGGTAGGTGGACTGTACGAGCAGTTTCGACTATGTAGAGAGCCCGACCAACCGCCCCTGGAGGATCTCCGTCGTACCTCCCCGACAGCGCAGCAAAAACGCGACTGGAATAGATTCCAGCAAGGGTACTAAAAGAACAATCTGGTGTCCGTTGGGATAACCTGAGGTTATCATTATAGGAGACTTCCCCTGTCGAATATACTCCTCGCAATAAGCTCGAGCACAAAATCTCGCTTGTACGATGACACTACTAAGTCATTATATGTATCGCTCCCTTGTTATTATTAGGACTGAATTTCCTATGTAGAGATATAGCTTCCAGTCTTGCTGATATACGGTGGTATTTTTGGTGGCGTGTGAAGAGAGGAAACTGGAATTGGTGTTAAAGTCAGGATTGTGTGCTACTAGGCCGGATTCATGAGTTTTGGGTGATCATCAGAGTTGTCAATCTGACTCAATAAACTTCATTTACTATGCAAGTTTAGTATTGTAACACTCCCTTCAGCTAACAAGTATAATCTTATGAGAATTATATCCGTGGACGTCTATGATAGCATCATCCAAAAGCAGTAACTCCGTATTTCATCCCCGATAACTATCCCCGTCCTCCCGTCAATCGCCGTTAATCCCGTCCGATCCTTTCACGTTCTTGCTGGCGTCATCTGCGAAGAAGCGGAAATAATGCCACCCACCGTCGCAAATACGCGGTTTCTTAAAACGCCGTGTGGAAACCACCACTAGATATTCCCATATAAAAAGCATGATTTGATTATGAAGCCTAAAGTTTTCAAAGTAGGAGGCGGCGAAATTGGTCCCCGTATGTGTAATCAACTTACGGAAGCCCTTGGTTACGAAATACAGACGAACCGTAAGCCTTTTACCCAAGTCTATAACCTATCACATGACATGACGGCGAATTGTAACCTCCAATATTGTGCAGGAAGAGGGGAGAAGGGGGTAGAGTAATAATCTGCTGGAAGTAGATAAATAGGAGGGCCGCCGCCGAGATGAAGTCCATAGTTCACGTCAAACTTCCCAAAGTCAAGACACCAACAAGCTCGGAATCACAACCCCTTTATCTATATATATAAACCTACGAAACAATACCACAAACAATGGCCAAGTACAACAAGCTCGCCGGCAAGCACGTCCTCGTCATCGGCGGTAGCAATGGCATTGGCCGCGGGGTAGTCGAGGGCTCTATCGAAGCCGGAGCCCGCGTCACTCTCTCCGGCTCTTCGCCCAAATCCGCCGCGGCAGCCCTAGCCGAAGTCAAGGCCGCATACCCTACCGCACAAGTAGCTGGCATCGCCTGCGACCTATCTAAGGACTCGGTAGAAGAGGACCTGGAAGCCCTGTTCGTCGAGGCTGAGAAACCGCAGCCCATCGACCACGTCGTCCTCACGGCAGGAGACCCGCTGCTGGTCGCGGGTGTGCAGGACATCACGCTGGAGAAGATCCGACAGGTGGCGCATTTCCGCATGGAACTGCCTATGCTGCTGGGCAAAGTGACCGCGCGCCATCTCGCTAGGAGTAACGAGTGCAGTCTGACGATCACCACGGGAGGCATTGCCGACCAGCCGAGCCCCGGGTGGAGCTTAATCGCGTTCGTAGGGGCGGGTATAACGGGGCTCACGCGCAACTTGGCTGTCGATCTTAAGCCCGTTCGTGTCAACGCCGTAGAACCGGGTTTTGTGATCACGGGGCTATGGAATTCGATGGGGTTGACGGCCGAGCAGTTGGAGGGCCAAGCTAGGGCTGTTGCGGAGAAGGTTCCGACGGGGAGGGCGGCGACGGTGGAGGATGTGGCGGAGGCGTATGTGTATTTGATGAAGGATAGGAATGCGACGGGGGAGATTGTGAAGACTAGGAGCGGGAGTCATTTAGTTTAGAGTGCCGTGCTACATATGAGGCTTTCGGGCTTGTCTAAGTGGAAGGGGTGTTGTTAGGGGTGAGGCATATTCCATGCTATTACCTATTGCGCCTTAGTTATTTCTCGAATGCCTAAGGTGTTGGCTCTAGCTTATAGCATCCATATTCAACTTCTTTCTGATCCCCTTACTACTGATTGAGTTGGCAACAATGACCTCGGAATACACATGTAAATTTAGAAGAGAGGTAGCAAAGTAGTTATCATTCTCCTGAAGTTAGTGGTATCCTGATGATCAGATTTGCGTTCGGGTATAGACGTCAGCCTTTCCAGTAACAGTCTCGACATAGCCCCTTTTCAAGAGGTCTTGAGCAGCAGGACTAAGTGCGCAATTGTGTCCATACAAAGGGTCACGGGCAAGATTTACTTCTTCATACACCCAAATAAGGGGAGAATAATAGGGTAAAGGAAATTATCGACCAGATCTACCTTTCTTCATGTACTTCAGTCTATCCAGCCATAGATCGGTAGGAGGTGCACGCATTCAGAATACCTACATCAACCGAATAATTTCATTCAAACAGGCAAAGCATCGCGAAAAGAAGTAGCAATTAAAAGAAATGATCCCATAAAAAAATGTGACCTTTTAACAGGTACCCAAGTGCTTATTTAAATACATAAATAAAAATAAGAATAAAATGCATGACCTCCGCAACAAGAAAAAAACAAAGCCTAATAGTTGACAATATTACATAGTGTAAATAATAAAAAAAGGCAAAAGATAAACTCCGGTACGGGGAATCGAACCCCGAGCTCCTCGGTGAAAACGAGGTATGTTAGCCGTTACACTATACCGGATATGACGGATGTTGCATGGTAATTCCTTCAGAAATTACGCTTATATAGCAAACTGTAATTAACGTGAATTCGGCAAAAGGCCGGCGGTAGCCCTAGCATGTTCTTGGTCACACAGCCGCATGTCACCATGACAAAGAGCATCTGCTGTAGGCATGGGTTCGGCTGTTAGTAAAGTTGTTGTTGTTGTCACAAGATTGGATAGGAATCAGAAAGGCTTCATTAAAATCGAGAATAATCATCTTAAAAATGAAGTCTTATGCTGGTGAATGAGGCAAGCTAAAACCCTTATTTTGTGTCCCTTACCTGGTTTCTTATATGCGAATGTTAAAAAGAAAACGTATTGATGTCTTGAACGGAATAGACGTCATCCTAGAATTCAAGGTACAACATAATAATTGCAAGGCAGACAGCCAGACAGCCAAACAGGCACACACATATGCCTACCTTGAAATATATATAGATATCTTACCATCAAATATTGGTTACGGCAACTTAAACTGAAATGCGCATTGCATTTAGTAAAGCATCCCAACTTTCGACAACAAGATTTCCACATCAATCACTTAGACGCACAATGGCGACAATAACACTCGCCAAGCCCAATATACCGGTCAAGCTCCCCGAGGGCCTCTCTGAAGAGAAACTCTTAGGGTTCTCACCTTTCAATGTAAGATAAATTTTCCTCGTTGCTCTTATTTATAATTTATATTAACTACTTCGTACCTCATTACGATCTGAAATACTAATAAATGAATGAAAAAAAAGAACTGGCTCGCCACCCTAACTCATTCCCTCTCCCTCCAGCACACCAACGCCGCGCACCCCTTCCACCCGGACCCGTATGCTCTACGCAGCATCACAATCCAAAGTTTCGACCTATTCGGCCAAGCTCCACGTCAGCGCCTCGCATTCTTGAAACTTATTGCCGAGATCAAGAACAGTGCCGGCAAGGCCCTGCCAGGTAGCGTATTCCTACGTGGGCCCAGCGTCGCTATGCTCGTCATGCTAGTACCAGACGACATGCCCGCGGGCCACGAAGACGACGAGCGGTACGTAGTGTTAACGGTGCAGGCCCGCATTCCGGCCGGTAGTCTGGCGTTTGTCGAGTTGCCCGCAGGCATGGTGGACGAGGGGGGTACGTTCGCGGGGACCGCGGCGCAGGAGATTAAGGAAGAGCTTGGGCTTGAGATCCCCGCTTCGGAGTTGCGGTGTCTAAGCGACTTGGCTGCTACTACTGGTTCCATCGAAAGCAAAGGAAATGAAGATGCAAATGGAGATGAGAATGGAGGCGAGGGTGAGGGTGAAGGCGACGAGAACCTGCCTCGAGCTATGTACCCTTCAGCTGGTGGATGCGACGAACATATCCCGATATTCATGCATGAACGGCGGGTACCGCGCGAAACCCTCAAAGAATGGACCGGCAAGCTGACAGGGCTCCGAGATCACGGGGAGATGATCACACTTAAGTTAGTTCCGATGAGAAGTCTATGGAGAGAAGGCGCGCGCGACGCGAAATGCCTTGCTGCGGTGGCGCTATGGGAAGGACTACGGAGGGAAGGTAAACTGTAAGACATGGTTCAGGCGTTCTGGGTATGGAGGCGTTTATGGCAAGTTCTATATCTGGCCAAGTAATCTGGCCAAGTAGAACAGCACGGTATTTCGTAGTTGGTCGTCAGGAGACGGCTTAAGAACATAATGAGAAAATACCACTGCTACGTCGGCTGTGAGGCCGCGCAGCAGAAGAATTAATATTACCTGTATTTCTCATACTTAGCGGTATCTCTAAGTAATGCCTCTACTTTCTCTACCGTGACCGAATCGTATACCTCTTCAGGCCTCTTAGTTCCTCGTAGAACTTGTTTGTCGTGCCTTATAGCCTCTTCCTTAGTCATGCAAACAAGGTCCGAAAGTTTGACGTTCGATGACTTCTGCTCGTCGGAGCCCTCCCCGATCCTTATCAGTATGGAGTCCGCCGGCCTTTGCCACCTCACTAAAGTTAGACGAGTTGTGAGTCCGCTTATGGCGCTTCGGCCCTTGAAGATCTCTTCCACTAGGAACGCCATATCTCCTGTTGTGAGGGGTATTTTTAGGCCCAAGGTGATGCTGGGGTCGCCACTGGTCATGTAGCGGAGGAGCTTCTCTTCCCCTCCCTGGACTGCGGCAAGGAGACCCTCGTACATTTTCTCGCGGCCCTTTGCCGGAACATAGTCGAGTGGATATCCTACGTAAATATTAGCCCACGTATAGAAAAATGCGATATGATGAGTACTTACCGGTGACAGAGAGTATAACATGGTTTGCTGCTGTGTATCCAAATACGGCTGGCATGGTGCCTAAAACTGGCAGTATCCGCACTCTGAAATCTGGCAGCACTCCTAGATCACCTACTTTACCCTTCTGAAATTCGTCCTCGGGAAGCGGGAGCAACTCGGCCTTCCCTTCGCCTGTCTTCTCTGTCGAGTACACAGTCGGGATTCCCTTGGTGACTCCAAGCAGTTTCAGGCGTCGCCGGGTAGATCTCGACAGACCGTCGTCGGTACTAGTTCCGATATCACCCACGATAATTCTAGTTGGATCGCTCTTGCACCCTGCTCCCATGGACGATATTACCGGCAAGTTATGATCGTGGCAGTATTTTAGTAAGGCAACTTTAGTATCAATGTTGTCAATCGCATCTACGACATAATCGGGCTTCTGTCCCTTCTCCCATGGCTCCAACAGCCTATCAGCTGCTTGATCCCAAAACTTTTCCTGCCGCAAATCGAAATGCACCCATGGAGTTATAGCTAAAAGCCGTCGCTTTAGACATTGAACTTTGGGTGTGCCTACGTCGGCCAGCGTCGCAACAGCATGGCGGTTTAGTGAGCTTAGGGTTACCTGGTCGAAATCGATCAAGCGAATCTTAGAAACGCCTGATCGTGCTAGAGCAGCGGTGCAGTGCGAGCCCACACCTCCACATCCAACTATTATAACGAAGGCGTTCCGTAGCTTGTCGAGGCCCTCCGGTGTGAGGAAAACGCGGTTACGTGCGAGCTGTTCGAGTATCAGCTCGTCGTCGTAGTCGCCAGCTTGTGCTCGTTTCGCGAGTAGCTGATTTCGGAGGTCTTCTTTATCAGCCGTCGAGGCGCCGTCAAAGCTGGTGGGCTACCTTGCGCTAGTCAGTATATTATTGTATATTATTGCTACAAGTAGATCCTATAAGTAGACCACGGATGTCAAAAGATAGGTAGATAGATTAGGTCTTCAAGAGAACAACGAACAACTCTCACCTTTCCCTCATCGAGCAACGAAGGGATCGATTCCTTAAGCTGATTGATACGCTCTTTTCGCTGTAGACGTTGATACCCTAGAATTGTCCCCGCGACGACAGCTCCAGAAGCAATGGCTGTTGCGGCTAGCTGAACCTTGGAGTTGACTGTCGTCCGCTCCAAGAATGACGCCATATTGCTCTCGTGTGCTTGCTTCTCTTTAAATTGTTTGGGAAATGTTCCGAGCTAGATTAGGTAGTTATTAATTCTAAGTGCTAAAATACCTGACCTATCTTGACGTCCATGTTAAATAATATATCGGTAATATATATCAGAAGATATACTGCATACAACCGACCCGTCGGACGTCAAAGCTGAAAAATAATTTTTGGCGTTGAGAAAATCTACAATGACGAAATCTCGGCGCAGGTACAAACTCAGTGTTTGACTAGTGGGCTGGCGGGGTCAAAGAAAACCCACTCAGGCCTGTGCCTTTTAAACTTTGCACTAGAACATCACAGAAGCACCTTGGCAAGCAAACAACTTTGGAACCTTGAGGACCTGCCAAGAAGATCCAAGGATATCCAAGCCAGACTCGCAGGTAAACGGGGAAGTGACAAGTTCTTGGTTTGAGCTTAATATAACAGCAAGTGCGGTTAACTTTATGCATAATCTCTAACTTCAGATTACCTCTTGTCTTTCTAATCTTCTTTTACAATTACATATAACTAATCTTTTATACAAGCCCATATTATATATTATGTACCTATTTTAATACAATACAGATCTTAGTGTATCGCCAAGTATGTTTACAGTGCAATCCAAAATCTTATGTTAGAACATATATCCCCTTAAGACACCTCTCATTACATGACCCATCGTCTCCGGGCTACAGTGGAATTCGCGGTAGAATTCGCGGGGGCAGGGGGAGCTGCTGCGCTTGAGGCCGCCGCAAGTAGGTTCTGCTCGCCGAGGTTGTTCTGGGGGTATCGGGAGTTGAATCCAACAACATCACGTACTGCCTGGAAAGTCGTTTTGGATAACCGGAGCTTTTCGGTCGCAACAGACCAGGCGACACCCTCGGAGCAGGGCGGGGTCGTAAGGGAGCCAGAATACCGCTGGAAGCTACCCGCCTTTAGCTGCGTGACCAATTCTGACATAGCAAGGGGCTTGGTCTTCGTTGAGGTACCGGGGGTGCCAATTTCTCCGATGGAAGAGAAGATGGTTTCGAGTAGGGTCGATGGGGCGCTTCGGGGGTGAAGATGAAGCTGAAGAACTGTCGGCGAATCTACAAGGTCGACGTAGATACCTATCACAGCAATTTCCTCCGCCTCCGTGGTGAATACCATGTGCATTTCCACTATTATAAATGTTAGCCAAGTAACATGGATGTTAAGTATTGTTTACTTACTCGGCATGCTGACGCCATCGTTGAGATGCTCGCTAGGGTGGTGGAAATGGAACTGCTCTAATGTGTAGTTCTTTCCTTCGAGGACAAACGTTCCCCCGACATCTTTCATCACAACCTCCACTGTTGACCCGAGGTTCTCAAAGGTTGCACCTTCTGTAGCGTCTGGAACGGATAACTCGACGTCGGATGCCGGGATGAGGGTGAATTGTCCATCGACCATATTGATTGGGGACTGGTTACTGCCAGTCGAGCATAGTCCATTGGCAGCAGTGTCCAGCTGAGTCCAGAGAAGAGGTCCTACCGCGCCGGTATACCCAAATTTCGAGATAGGTACCTCCTCTCCTTCTGCCCTTCGGTCGAGATGCGTGTGCGAACCGCAAAACCCTAATACCGGCGTCACAGACGCGGCTAGGATGAAAAATCGAGAAAGGACGGACGACATATTGACTAAACAACTAAGAACCGAATATTTTGGGTGAGTGAAAGACCGAAATAGGTAACGAGAGAAAGTACAATAAAAATGCGAAAAGGCTCCCGGAGCGCAGCAAGGATATAAATCGTAAAGAAGCGAAAAGAAATGAAGAGCGAGGAAAACTCCGAAAGACTGGTTCCCACCTGGGCCACATCTGACAGATGATGAGCATCGCCCCAATATATATAGGTATTCAGTAGGATCCAGCGAGTGAACAAAATTACACTGCTTATTCCCTTGGCCGAAACTTCGGCCTTGAAGGGGTAGGTAGTTGACATTGGCATTGTAACAACATCGAGGATAGTAGGCTTGAATACCGAAACTACGGTAGGCATCTCATCACTCGAATCCGGACTTCATGGAGCTACCTAAGGTGCCCCATGGAGTTCGGGGTTCATCGAGCCAAGGAGAGTACATATCGTCAAGGTTGCAGCGAGATAAGATGGGAGCCCTGAGCGTAGTTTAGACCCAAAATGATCAGCTACCATAGTACATAGGCGATGACGTGAAATAGCCAAGCAGGCCAAGGCCCGACCTACGACAATATCTCACACGGAAAGATACGCAGGAGTTGCCAAATGAGGCTTCTTTAATTCGCTAACTCTTACAAAATAGAGCCGGAAACAATCGTTGGCGCCCTTCTCTCTTGGCCAACGTTTCGATGACTTACTAGAGGCAAGTATGTAAGCGGATTCTTTAGGACCCTGTAAGCCCCGTAAGCATCGACTGTGGTAGCCTATGTCGACTCTTACGTGGCTCTACCAATAGTAATGAGTCCAGAGGGATCACCCAATATTCGCACCGCTATCAAATTTTACCTTATACCGCAAAAGGAATTCACAGGACTACCGAAGCATTGATGCCCAGAACCCAAGTGGTGTCTTAGAGTCAACAAGGCAACCTGTAGTGGTGGTTCAGAACGACGTCTTCCTTTCTATCTTTTCTCTGGCGGGAACTGATCAACTAGGTTGGGTGGGCGAGGGAATGAGACGAATAATATCCCCAAGCGTAGTAAACACGAAGAAGAGAATCATCTGCTGCCAAATCAATCGCAAATCAACCATTACTATTCTCACCACTCCAAAGCAAAAGACAATTTCATTTGATGTTTGACTACTAGTACTCCAGTACCTACCTAGGAGCATAAGCGGTTCACTATCTGTTCTTGGACAATTATCAGGCCATTCTGCCCCTTTCGACATATTGGGGTTCTTGGCCCTTCAGCACGATAATATACCTAGGAATTACATCAAGAAGGTGGATTTGCAACTGAACACCCCCAAGAGGCACAAGAGATCAGGATCTTATCTTTCTAATTACAGAAATATACATTCCTATGTAAGTTACACATCATCACTTTTTTATTTAGTAGTATGTTTTAAGCATCTTCGAAATTCTGATGACCCCCGAAAACAAGGGTCCGGTAGTGCTAATTTCGCGAGCCAATGAGAACGACACGTTCTCCCCAGAGTCCCTGAATATGGCAGCAATGAGCTAGTCATGTTCTAGACCATCTACTTTTTATTCAGCACGGTATTCTGGAGAAGGGCAGGGGTTTGATAGTCCATTCTTTCTGTCAGCGCGCACTCTTGTTTTTCTTCGTCTTAAGTTGAGCGTTTGAAGTCCTAGCGAACATCAAACAAGACGATATCGTATCGAACCAATTAACAACCACCAAGCTACGGGATCTTCCTACGTTGGCTAGCTACAACGACTCTATTTGATCTATTTGCACGCAAGTTCCACAGGCCACTCAGGAAACATTATATCATAACAAAACATCAAGACACGAGCCTTGTCGTCCATGTTGCTGGGAATGTCAAAATAGCACCATTGTTCCATTGCATCTTTAGCACAATTAACTTATGATAAACTCTCTGAAATAATCATCCCCGTTTATGCTGAAAAACAACTCCCTCGCCCGTAGAAATCCGGAAATCCGGAATGAGGCATCTAGGATATGCCCTGTTATCTCAAGTCTTGTTCAGAGGAAGCTTTGGTCGATCTCCCCATGGAGTATGACTATTTCGCATTAGTCAAGAGATCAAACTAATAAGAATGTACTCCTGGCTCCCGATGCCTGCCCACCCGTACGCTCGGCGGAGGGAGGAACCGGACTCTAGCCAAACTCTCCTATAGATCCGTGTCTCTATTACCGGGCCAAGATGTCTGGATTCACTTGGCATCAGGGGCTAAGGGAAGCCGGCTACGGTCGTAACTATTCTCGACGAGCTCAAGTTAAGATGACAGGCGGCGACTCGTCGGTGCGACGACGAGTATGCAGGGGAGCTTTGGCTTGATATTGTCGTCGTCCTTTACTAGCAAGATCCAGATCGTTTCTTTAGCTGCAAAAAGGAGACCAGCATAAAAGAAATTGGATTTCGCTAGGTACCTCGTATAGAGTGAAAGTCGCTCGTAAATTGGGCCGCCGTCACGTATTGTTAAAGCAAGTAATAGTTAGAGCATTGCTTCACCCAGTTTGACAGGTTTTCTTTACTCAGACGGACTACTAATAAAGACGCGGCGAGCCAACACGATATTGTCACAGACACAGCCTACCAGCCCGATAATACGTATAAATGATCAATACTCTCTAACAGAAGGTACCTAAGCAGAATCCCCAATCTAGCATGTACATCTTGTAAGTCTCCCCAGCTGCAAGCCATTCAGCACTGGTATCTATAACCGGAACCAATGATTCTTCTACTTGTAGGTACCTACAGGTATATGCTCTAAACTTATCCTAGAACTACCACCGAGTTTGTTTTGAATCTGATAACCCGTTTTATTTGCATATGTTTTCCATGTTTTAAACTTAGATAAAAGACATACTATGTAAGCGTCGAGAACTACTTAGGTACGCTGACTATAGACGAGCCAAGCTGGATGGTCAGAATCCCGAGCGGTGAAACACTTAGCCAGAGCGTCAGGGACCTCATGGCCTTGTCCAGATGGTATGCCATTGTAGGAGCCCATGCCAGAGAGATTAGTACGATATCTTTCCCTACCTAATCCATCTACCTTAGGAGATAGAATACTAGATCCATTCCCACTTTCACAATCAGACAAATCTCACAACGCAGCCAGTCCAACGAAGTAACTCTAAAACAGAGGCAAGTCATCAAAGTATCGCTTTATTCAAATTATATTTACAGCAACCACCCCCAACACATTTTACGCGTTAGGGTAGTTCTTGTTAAAGTTAATCAACGACCCGTTAGACGACTCGGCGATCCCCCGATCAGCGAGGAACACACAGTACTTGGCGACGTCCTTGGTCTTTATAGCCATCTCGGGCTTGAAGTTCGCAGACACGCTCTGCGCGTAGGCCTCGGTGTTGAATCCGCCCAGCACCGCGAAACTATCCTGAATGTTGGTGTCGACCATGCCGCCGAGCAGCAGCCCGATCGCGTAGATGCCCTTCGCCGCGTAGTAGCCGGCTGTGCTCTTTACTAGGGCAGCTACGCCGTGTTTGCTGGCCTACAAGTGAGATATGTTAGTTATCTACATGGGGCACTGGGTCGGGCTCTCGTAAGACAGGACGAGGTGTTAGGAGGGATGTAGTCGATAATAGCTTGGATAAGAAGCAAAGGGAAAAGGTAGACTAACTGCATAAGCGACACCAGACGACATGCCGTGGTAACTCGCCGTCGAGCCAATCTGGATGATGGTCCCGCCCGGTGGAGACTGCTTCTCCATGGCATTAACACCGGCCTTAAATACGAGGAACGAGCCGGTAAGATTGAGGTTGATGATTCTGTCCCAAGTCTCCTTGGTTACGGAACCGACGGGGTCGAACTTGTCCGTCATGCCAGCGTTGCTGACGAGGATATCGAGGCGGCCGAACTTAGCTACGACGTCGGCTACGAGCTTGTTCACGGCCTCTTCGTTCGTAATGTCCGTATTGAAGGCGGCGAATCGTCCCGTACCTTCCAGTTCAGTCCGAGCAGAAGCTAGTCGCTCCTCGTTGATGTCGCAGACGGCTACGTTGGCGCCGGCATCTAGGTAAGCCGTTGCTATCACTTTACCCAACCCGCCGCCTGCGCCGGTCACCAGGACTGTTGTTCCCTGCAATGTCGTTGCCATTTTCTTCTGTTTGAATTCTGAATATTTCAAGAGTTATTACTCGTTTTTGTCCTGCCTTGGTAATATTCGTTTCTCCAAACTTGTGATCGCTGATGGGATACGAACACGGTCTCTGGGTCTCTTAAGTAAGGCTCAGAGTTGACGACGCAGTATTTATATAAGGTAGGTCCTTATCCAAATGTGAGATTATGTTGGGCACCTTCGCTCCCGTTCGCGTATTCGGTTTGCACCCTTGACTCCTCACTCCTCACGGGGCGGCGTCCGAGTGTCATCCAATCAGCCGTCGTATTCGTATAAGATACGCTAACCGGGTTTCCGGTGCCGATTGGGGACCCCACACTTGCATGGTGTTCCGGAGTTTCTTAAGGAGGTTATACATATGTCATATGTTATACATAGAGTGAGTTTCTTATCCGTGCTACAATAGAATATGTCCCTAATTTAATTAACAATTTCCCATGGTGGAAAAATATAAAGGAAGCAGATAGTTCAGATACTACTCAATGACAATAAATATTACAAACCGACGGTTGAAATAGAAAGAATTCACCATAATTTATACTCACGAAGAGAATCTTAATTCGTTGTTTGAGATATTAGAAAGAATCAAGTCAGTCAATTCCGGTTTAAACATGGAAAACTATTTATTATACCGAACCAACTGAACCATGAGGCCTCTCCATCATAAGAAACCAAACTATCAATCAATTCCAGATAGAAATTGTATCCCTATTGCTCCTATTGTTACCTAGCTCTAGTCGACTTCGAAGAAATGAACCTTCTATCAGTAATTCTCTCTTATTACCGACAATCTCGCCCCCGTTCAACAAGACTAGTATAGAGCTTGGGGTAGACAATGGCTCTATTTATAAACATTTCTTTCATGGGTGTGTTCTTGAAGTTGTAGATATTTTGGTCCCATATAGATATATCTTCAGGTGTAATTACGGCCAAGCCAACCTTATTATCATGGAAACTACTATAAGAATTTACAAGTGACCAATGTGTTAAGTCAAGACAACGGATTTCCCTTCCCTCGCTTTAACTCGTAGACACCTAGGAGGTAGGTAGACACAGGTAATATTTGGCTAAAACTAGCATGGCTACGCTCTTTGACATCGTGGTTCTTGGTAGCTTCAGTCTTATTGCTTTCTTCGTATCCAGGAGCTGTCATAGGTAGGTAGTCTTTGTCACTTCATGTTTTGACACCTGGGGACTTATTCTCGACTCCGGGGGCGACTATAACTTCATTACCGACTCCCAAATGAAACTACTTGTAAGGCACCTAAACAAGAAACACGGTCTCTAGTCAACGATATAAATACCCGCCTGCACTCAATAATATCATATATGACAGTAGTGTAGGCTAGCTGAACGATGTGAGTTTATGTAAGTCATGAGAACTGTAAGCACATTGGGTGCCCGTTATAATGCAAGTTAATCGTGGCTTGGATTTGATACTTTGAGCAAAAAAAGACTTGGGGGATAGAATAGAGCGTCGAGTAAGGGAATGAATGATCTAATTACGGTAGGATACTTGTTTTCATTCTACGTTAAGTTTTTCCTTTTTTTTTTTTTTTTAAAAAAAAAAAAAGAAAAAAAAAACCATGAACGCTGCAACTCATCATATGAATTTAGTTGAAGCTAACATACGTCTAGAATGAGAAAGCCGACATTCTCAGGGTTACCCTCACTTTAGTATGAAGCTGCGAACTTGTGATACTGGGATTTTACGAGTCCATCCCTACAACAGCCGAAACACCCAGTTGATATCACAAAACAGCAATAAGTATAAGTACTAGAAAGCAACCACGCATATACACGCAGGCATCTATTCAAGAGGCTATATGGCAAAATCCTATATACAAGAAACATTATCACCAAACCGCGCAATCAGCGCTATCATCGGTCTCCAGCGGCGGTCTTGAGCCAGCCTAGTTGATTTAAATCCTCGCACCCCTTTCCCTGAGCGGCACGAGGCGACGAGTCAAGTCGTACGAAATGAATTGGCGTAGAAGGAAGATTCATCATGCGGTAGAGGGTCGTCTTCGATCTTGCGAATCAAAACTTTATTTTCTTTTCCTTTCCGAGGGGGGCATGCCGCGTGTCTTTTCGTTGTAGGCGTATATCTTAGTTGGGCGTGGCAACTGGGTAGCCAGGGTTTGTCCGGGAGTAGCTAACGCTCACAGAGTACTGGGAGGTAGCCGGCTGCTGGGGAGGGAAACCGCCAGTAGGTACGGTTCCTGGTGCAGTTCCCGGGGCAGTTCCCGGAGCAGTTCCGGGAAACGTCGGGAAAGAAGCCGGGAACGTTGGGAATGAAGGGGGCGCGCCGGCTGGCTGAGACACAGACGGCGTAGGGTCCGGCTGAGGAATAGAAAGAGATGAAGATAGCGATGAGACAGATGTCTCTAGGGGGCTTGTGGGGAATGGCACTGCAGACGTGAGAACCGAAGAGCTAGTTGCATACGTGACGGTAACGTGGTACGACGACGTTGTTGGATCAACTACGGTTGGTAAGGCTGTCGATCCGCCAGTCGGTGCGGTACCGGGAAATGTAGCAACAGGTGTAGGGACAGCCGGATAGGATGGCGCACCCGTACCGTATGCCCTTCTAAGAGGGAAGGGCACCGCGAGGGCCGCGGAAGCGAAGGTGAGGGCGGCGAGGACGTACATTTTGCTTGAGATGGTTTTACTGGAGTGAACGAGTGTATGTAGACTATGCAAGGGAACCCCGATGGTCTATTGAGAACCAGAAACCGCACTGACTGGACTGAGGATAAGAAAGTTAACGACAGAACTTGTGTGCCTCTACGAGAACAAGAACAAGAAATCCCAAGAGGGAGAGATGCTAGTTGCTATATATCCTACCAGGCGATCCTCCCCCTTCTTAGCCGGTACCAAGTTATGAGGTGCATCCCTACGTGTGTAGCACCTTTGCCCTTGAACATCACTTCAATATGCCCCAATGTGCTTTGAATTTTACCATGTACGGAGCCTTTTGCCATGAAAAACACCATGTTGCTATTCTGAGCAATTTCGCGTGTATGTCGATCGACTACCGAAAAGTGTTTTTTGATAAGGGGGACCTTGTCTCCCCCTGGTTGTGACCCCCTGTTCAAAAATGTAGATCAACGTCGGTCCTACACTAGTTCAGGTCCCTCGCGGGTTGGCGGGAGATACTAGCAGACTAGGAGATACATAGGGCATTGGTGTTGAGGCTAACCCATTGGAAGTCTTCATAAATTGATAGATGATAGATGAACAAGTAATGCTATTGGCTCCTATTAATCTGTTAGACTGTTACAGCTACCAATGGCAAAAAGTTGTGCACGATCGACGCATAATATACCAACAGAACCTCTCGGTAGAGGGCAAAAGAATAAAGGATTAGGCAGGTATTAAGAGTGTGCGTCCGAACCACGGGCAAATTCCTGTTAAAATGTCTCCGCCGACTAGGGAAGAACCAGATTCGGTCATGTGAAATATCCTGTTTAGTTTCCTGTTTACTGTTTAGTGACATCTGGTTTTACTATGTAGTATGTAGCTCTCGAGGTCGATCTTCGATCTGATTAACAGGTAATGACTTTTCTCGAAGGGGCGGATTTATATGTCCGTCTTTGCAGGGTCAATCGAAGTTGGCAGCTAAGGAAGGGAAACGCCGGCGTTTTAGCTGCACGTTCCTATGAATCCTAGGGTACACCGATACTACCTACTATCTTGGCTAAGAAAAGTAATCAGGTAATTTAGATGAAAAGGAGCTGACTCCGCTGCTTTTGACCGCTAAGAGGACTAATAAAGAATAAAATTTGACGGATGCCGCGAGCTTTCTTTCTTTTTCTTTTTCTTTTTCTTTTTCCTTTTTTTTTTTCTTTAGGGGGGGTACGTGCTTCGTCAAGCACTAAAAAGAAGAAGCGCCCTCTCATCTCGGCTTGTAGCTAGTTTAAACTCAGATCTTAGGCTGGTACTGAAATCGTAGTGGATAGGATGTTGTATTGGGAAAGATTCTAATACTCCACTTTTAAGTGGTGGAAATCTTATATATGCCCTTCGTTACCTACTTGCTCCTTCCCACAGTAACTAAGGTTCGCTCTAAGCTTCGATGTCAGCAGTAAATAAAAGTCCGAAATGTCTGCATGAAATCGGCTCAGCAGCGTCCGTGAGGACCGGTCCCGTGCGCCGTTACTATGTAGACCCCGTTCATCTGAATAAGTAGTAGAGACGGTTTACTCATCTCCCATTGGGGATCTCTATTCCTAGTATCTATTCCTAGTAGAAGATGCGTCGGCGAGAAAGGATTATCATTGGCTTATAGCAAGCAATGTATAAGTTAGCCACCCTTTCTAATCTCCAACTTCATCGAAATAAGTCAATGTATACTAACTACCTAAAACCATACTTCATAAAGAGAAAGAGTCCCGTTCTTATTTCAACCACACCATAGGGCTGATATGGCTTATAAAGAGCACCCGCTGGCGGCCGCACTGGAAAAAGGCCAGGAAGGCGGCGGGAGCGGGCCCAGAATTCGCCGACGACATTGGGAACTTCGGCATTGTTGTAAGGAGCTGGAGACAGCTTATGCTGGAAAACGTGATGCAGTGCCAGGGACTAGAAGGCTTGGGGATGATCCAGGAAGGGACAGAAATTGCGGAGCGGTGGAAGCCCAAGATTAGAGAATGGAGGGAAAAGATTGGGCGTATGGGAGAGCCCGTGATGACCAAGATAGGCCGGTATGTTATATACGAGTATCCTAACTTCTACGCAGATCTTCGATTGTGCTATGAAGGATATTTATTGAGAACTTAAGCCCGCATAGGAAGATCATTTAAGAGAAGGTGAGCGATGATGGTACTATATGTGCTCTCTAGCATGTAAAGAGGATAAGCGGGATATAGTTCGTTGCATTACTTGGTACCTACCTAGGTACCTATTTAAAATAAAATTTATACATATTCGTAGTTCTGTAAACCAGGGTTTACTAAGAGCGATACCTCTAGACAAGTGATATACGGTTGAGACCATAGGTACCTTCTAACGTACCAACCCCAAAATCACTTCATGCTAAGTAAACCGGTGTTGAGCCCACTATGACGCCTACAGAGTAGAACTCCCACCTTTTACTCGCATTGTAACAACGAATAACAGCTATAGCCATCCATCATCTTTTCCCCTTAAGATACCGTGTAACTAAGCGATGTGATCGTATATATTAGGTGACAACGGAAATCCGCCGCTAGGTTCCAGAGCGATAACACCTCTAAAAGCGAGGAAATATCTTTGGCAAGATATACCCACCCATAAGTTAGACAGACCTAGTAGGATATACCTATCATAAATCTCAGATATATCATCGGCATACAAAGTTTACACGCTGTCCCAAGATCTGTCGTTACACATCCTCAAACACACATCTCCCTTAACTAGGTCCCACAACATGACGTCGCGAAAGAAAATGCCGTCTGACAACATTGGACACTTACCCAGTCACCTAGTACCAGAGGCACACGCCAGAAACGCAAACTCGACTTACCGGCCCGGCCCCAAGCTCAAAAGCCTGCGGAAGATCCTTCAGCACATGTTCAACACATACATCATCACCCATACACGACACATGAGCACGCTATGCTAACGTCTCTGCCTCTACTTTTATACTTTTTGTCTTTATTTATTCTTTTTGTCATGCCTACTTCCGTTACCGTCTATCTGAGGGTATGCCCGTCTTCGTTGAGTTGTCTTCCGTTACCCTTGGGACACATAAGAAAAAGAATTCCCCTCTTCCCCTCTTCCTCAACTACCAGCCAAATCACTTGATTCGGTTGGCAGAACTGTGACCGTGGAAGTTGACCCTACCGCCCAAGCCTTTCCGTGATCTTTTCTGTGGATATCGAGGCGCCCCGCACACCGTATGATGCTCTAATATATATGCCCTATGACTCCTCTCAAGTGTCCCTTTGGTATCCGGCCCCCCTGGCGCGATGTACAAATCGTAAGGAAATAGGCCCGACAACTAAACCAGTCGGATGAGCTTCCCTCTTTCGCGCCCTTCGCTGGTATCCTTGAAAATATATCATGCTTCATAGGATAGCCAAATATAGCATACCTAACCCGGCATTATGCATATGACACAATCATCGTAACCCCTCGCCCTGGTCCTTACACATCCAATCCGAACTCTCAGCCTGATGCGAAGCGCCGGCTCGTGAGAATCCATTGTTTCAACTTAAATACCACATGATCTTAAGCTGTTAGCGTATAAACGAGTATAATTATCCTCGATGAGTAGACCGGCGACTGAAGCTCATGACCCTGAACAAACCGACTGGAGATGTTAACCATGTGGAGATAACCTGGTCTCCAACCATGTCCAATATACCGTCAGATATCTCAAATACGAGATTCGCACCGAGACAACACATGTCCGTCAATTCGTCGTTTGGGCCATATCCAAAGTCCGTCAATATTCGCGACTCAGCCTCCTTTCCTCTCGGAATCGTTCTTTGGTAACTGCTCGCTCTGCGGATACGCCTCGCTTCGTGCCTTCGCGTCGTTGCCCTTCTTCCTTCCCCTGGTCATCTTCTGCCATCCGGTACTAGCGTTGTCACTCTCACTTTTGACACCTCGCGTGTGTCCATTTTCTCTCGACAAGCCGTTCACTCTCGGATGTAGGGGCATCGGCCCATCGACCCTGGGTGACGTCTCGACCGACGATTTTTGTTTGGCTTTAGGTGGCTCAGCTTTGAAATCCGGTTGGCTATACGCCATAGTAGTTGGGACTGCTGGTGCCTGATCGAAAGGTAACTCTAATCTTCGCGTGAAATTTGGAGAAGGACTATTAGTCTCGTACACTGGCGAAAGATGCGAGAGCTCAGTTGCTTGTAGTCTGTTTTCTGTCGCAAGGTCGAGCTGCGCAATGAGTGCATTGGGTGATGCACGAATAGAAAAGCGCTGCAAGGCATGCGCGCTGAACCCAGAGGCGTTACCCGCGTTTTCAAGCCCAACAGGTACTATAGGCATATTCATAGTATGGATGTGATTACCCATTTGATTCGTAGCCATATCATGAGGAAATTGGGACGCCGGTACCTGATTAGCCATAGCCGCGCAAGCATTCGATGAACCATTGACAACGACCGGTCGATCTGACGATGGTGAATTCGTTTTCCGAGACGTAGAGGTACGACTTGATGGGGTTCCAACGACGGAACCAGTCACCTCTAGCTGTTGGTTAATATGCAGTGGATTGTCATAACCGGTATATAGGGTTGGTGCAATCTCGCTGTGCGAGGGCTGTCGGGGCGAGCTGCCGTTCGCAAGCTTTGACATAGAGCCGTTGACAACCAAAGGGGTCGTCTCACGAATTTGCGATCCAGCAGCAGCAGGGAACGGCCCGGAAGCAAGAGGAGCAGAATTTCTATTAGCGGTATAGACTCTGTTTTGACCGAGCGGCGAAGGAGAACGAGATGAATTTTGCTTAATTCTATCGAGTATCGACTGAGGCAGTTGGTCGGACGATAAGCGGCCTCGGCTCTGACCTGAAGATTGAGCACCAAGGTCGCCAAATGCAGGTACGCTACTAGTCGCAGCGCTCGTTCGCCGAGGCGGGCTAGACGGATCTGCGTAATAGCTACAACCTTTTTCTTCCTCCGGCGGAGTGTTCGTCGCTGATCCGCTCTGTTCGATATCCTGCCCCTCGTCCGGAATGAAGCTAGGCATAGGGACTCCGTTGATATGGCGAGCAGGAACACTAGTAACTCCATTAGGTATATGGCCGGTCCCTGCCAATCCCTGAGCAGTGGGCATACCAGGAACAGTTCGCGAGGCCGGTTGGGACTGTGACCTCAAGGCGCTTCCGGAAACAGTGTGACTGGTATCGCTAGCAGCCGTCGAGCGGTGGGAACTCCGTCGAAATTCTGCAGCGTGTCCGGTCGAGGGTGACGAGGGATACGTGGGGAAGCCTTGCTGTGCGTAGAACCCGTGTGGAATCT